TTTGTTTATCAGTATCATAGATAGATAAATTTATTTGGTACAAATATTTACAACATATAGTACAAATTTATTCTTAAAACTAATTTGGGGTCCCCTTTAATATGGCGGCCCCTGTCTGCAACCCAGTTAGCCCCGCCCATCCCCTTTAATCCGGTCCTAATACCACAGCCTCTACTTCCTGTCTGTTGATGAATCTTTCTTCTAAGTTTTCTTAACATTATGGCAATACAGTAAGTGTGTTAACCAGATTGCTTCCTTTCAGATAATATTTCCATTCCTTAAATTATACAAACAACGCTTCTCACAAACCGGAAGTGGTTCATTCTGCACTCTGACCTTTAGAAGCAATCCGGAATCCAACACTAAAGTCACAATTTAGGATACTTTGGAATCTCAACAAATACATCTGATATTTTTTTTATTACTGAGTTGTCGTATTTTTCTATGTGCAATTTTTGATACCAACATATGGACCATGTTGTTTTTGGGTTTTTTTTGTATTTTTTCTTTTTTTATGCCACGGGACAAATTTTTCGTGTCATATATCCCGTTGTTTTAAATATCAAACATAGAAGTAAGCGCGTGGAAAAAAGTTGATGTTTTAATGGTTTCATGCTGTTTGGTGAGAAGTGTCAAATGTTAAAAAGTTATTTTCTCACAAAATAAATAAAATGATTCAACACGTTAAAGATACATTATGGGAGATGAGATAACGAGTTGGCAGTTCTCATTATAATAGTTAAAAACTACATAATGTAAAGGCAATTTGCTGAAAATTTCAGTCAAATCGATCCACTATGAAACGAGAACTAAGCGGATGAAAGTTCCGCTTAGTCTCGATCACCATTACTGAAGTCAGTAAGACAAAACTAATAGTCTCGATTATCCATTTAATCGTTAATCACGAAGGAAAGTTTTGCAGCAAATCGGACTATAATCCAACAAATATCGCAGGCTAACCTTGACATCGAGAGCTGATTATGGTCTGGATAAGTTAATTAATGTATAATTAATAGTTTTTATAACATTTCAGGCCTAAAGAAAGACCTAAAATAGGCAGATTTTGCTCTTGCATAATGTATGTTTAAATATACTAAAGATTATAAACTAGAAATTCCACTTATCTTAACGAGACGAGGGTGTGGGTAATTTATATTATACATGTACATCAGGACCAGATAAAGGGGGTGTTGACAGGGCTGCAGTCAGGGGGTCCAAAGGGGCTTCCAAATTAGATCTAAACAAGTGCGATCATACTATGAACCAGGAAGCGACCTTGTTGTTGGATGAAATTCAAAAATCTAATTCGGCAAATCGATGCAGCATTGTTCAAAGAACAAGTATGCCATTTTTCTTGTCGATCGGACTTAGGCTTTTTCGATGAGCGTCACCCCAACAACAAGAACGACAAGAAGAACAACAAGAAGATGATTTTATCTTGTGTGCCAACTAAATCTATCTATCTATCTACCATACTGACTTACAAATTATATTTGTGTGACGGACAATGACCAGAATATGCCGGATTATCAGCCAGGGGTGTCCATCTCAAGCTTGTCTTGTCTGCCGTCAGGTGTTCTGCTGATTCTCCTACCTTTATAGACACTTGATTTGTGTTGAGTGGATGTTACCCTCCCTCTCTCTCTCTCTCTCTCTCTCTCTCTCTCTCTCTCTTTCTCTTCCACTGAAGTGCACAAAGCTAAGTATGCTTAGTCTACCTGGAGCCACTGTTTAAATGGATATTTGCTGAATTTTTTCCAGTTCGTCCTGTATTTTGACTGTTGATTAGGAATAGTTGTACTGTTTATATACATGCTTAATGTACCTTTGACATTGGACACGACAACAGTTCACCGGCCGAGAATTAACTGGTTCTATCTAACATATTTCTAGCTCTGTGAAAAATTAGTTCGAAAGTTTCGGGATTTTATATTTTTGTTACATTTAGAGATTTTTGTCCGCTTATTTGCATATTAAAAAAAAACATGAGTCAATACAAGCATAAATACTAAGTGATCGAAATATAGAATTCCGAAACTTTACACTCATTTTCCCCAGAACTGACATATTTTAGAATAAAACTAGTTAATTCTCAACTGACGAATTGTCTTGGCTTTCTGGTGTGTGGTGTTGTCACCCTCTACATTTTTCTACATGCAAACAACATGTACGTGTGTCGTGTATAATATGTGATTTGATTGATCATATAACAATGGCTCAATTATTTTGGAAGATTCTTAAAAATAGATTAAGTATCCAGTATATTGTACTATACCATTAGACATATTCAATTGTCCATGTGTCCACGCACGTGTCTTTTATAAACTGACCTGTATCGTGTAACAATGGGTTCGTTGTTAGGTTATATTAGATATATACCATATCTACTTAATCCCTTCAGGTGCCTGTTGACTACTTTGTGTCGTTTTAACGATCACTCTATGGATTGACAAGAGACAAGTAATCTTTTCCATTGACAAAACAAAAAGTTAGAGTGTGAAAAATAAGAGTAGGTAATTGAAAAAATATCAAACAAAATCGCCAATTCCGGTGCGTATATGTGACCCGCTCAGGTCTTTTCGAGTTAATTAATGTCTAATTAATAGTTTATATAACATTTCAGGCCCAAAGAAATACCTGCAATAGGCAGATTTAGGCAGATGTATGTTTGGGGGATCACGTGGCTAAGTGGGTAAGACGCTAGCTCGCTAGCCTGGAGGTCGGATGTTCGATCCCTGCATTGGCCGAGAAAGTTCATCCAGATTTTCCGGCGTGGTTCTCCCTTGTCAGTGATGCAGGACGGAGGGGCTGACAAGGAAAGCTGTCTAGTCGTTCGGATGGGACGAAAAACCGAGGTCGTGCACGTAAAAGATCCCTTGGCAGTTGGAATTCGATATAAGAGTAGGCCGTAGTGCCGCTGTCCGGGCAAAATTTCCCTCATAGCACACTGTATGGCGTATGCCCGTCTTCATTAGCCCAGGTTAGGAGCAGAAAAGTAGGACGTTAAACTCCATTTCATTTCATTTCATTTTCAGATGTATGTTTAATACTTTAAAATTCTTGAATCCGCGTGTCTGGCGGATATTTACTGTTGCAGTGTTTATTGCATGTTTAGAATGAAGTCTGGGGTGTGTAAACCGTGTGAAGTAGGGTATAAGGGCAATCAATAAATAACATTCTTAATGATCTCAGGAGGGTAGAAGGGGTCATGGTACCAAACCTCTTCACTTCCCGCAGGATGTTTTGTATAAATCAAAATCTGAACACAGACAAGACAAAGGAATGCACATGTTATCGTAGTCTGCGTGCAGGGAATACGATTTTTAAATACGTGTTTTCTGTGCACTAGATCACTCCACTGTGTACTCTTTAAACTCGCGGATTAATATCAAACTAAACTGATGAGACTATGCAGTATATCGGCGTTAAACAGATGTTAAATGTCACAATTATTCAGGAAATTCAATTGAATGGATAAAGTAGTAACTGGGCGTGTACAAAAGAGTAACGAAGGGGGCTGGGCCTTGTTTCTCGAAAACTTAACTAAAGATAAAATCCAAATTTTTGTAGATACTTCAATTTTGATTGGCTAAGAACTAAAATCAATCTAATATTATCCAATCAAATTACTAAAATTTGGATTTTTATCTTACTTCAAATTTCGTGAAACAAGCCACTGGGAACTAGGCCGCTACAGGCACCGCTTTATTTCAATCTAAGTTATCTGCAATGATAAACACTGACCATCAATAGTGAAATAATCAGGGGCGGATCCAGGATTTTCAGAAATGGGGGGGGGGGGGGGCACTTGGGAGTGCGAAGCCTGGCCCTCGGTGGGGGACTGACGGGCAATCAACCAAGTCACCAACCGGCTCGTTTCGGAGTAAATTACGATTTCCAACCTAAACTGACTGTTAATTCGTTTAGCAACATGAGTTTCGGTACCTACCTACCAGCCGAGGAGTGATCATTGATGCCGCATTCCCTAAAAATTGTTCGCCACCGCAAAAAATAAGGGGGAGGGGGTGCGCCTGATAATCATGTAACAACGAGAGGTGGGGGACTTCGAAAATTGAATGCTTATTTACATCTCAGCGACCTTGACGAAAATTGAGCTGGTCTTAACAAATAGATTTAGCCTTTTTGCTTTTACATTTCTCTCTCTCTTTTTGCGCGTGACACGGGGTGGATTTAGAATAGAACCACGTGTTATTAACATTTGTCTACATGTCTGCAAAATGTTTTTTAATGGATATCTCGTTAATTTAAAACAGAAACATGTTACACGAAAAAGGGATGGTCGACTTGCACCAAAATCTTTAAGGTGTGGCTTAATGGGTTACATCAACCAATATTAGGTCGAGGTGCTACGCACAGGGGCGTGGTGACCCATGAATTTGCATGAGGAATAAAATGCCCGCCTGGGCCCTCAAAAAACAATATTTGTGTGTGTGTGTGGGGGGGGGGGCTCCCATTGTCGCCGGGTAATATTGGACGAATGAATGGGGTGGATGGACGAATGGTTACCGCGTTGTATCATATGGGCTCTCATTGAATCCACTGGCGTGGTTTCGATTTTACGGTTGTACTTGACGAGGAGTAGGGTCGCCTGACCAACCTCGTTGGTTTTCGCCGGGTCTTCCGGTTTCCTACCACTGCTATCGACCCCTACGCGCATGCGAATTATTAAAATAAAATTGAACCATATGTTAGTCCCGAAATGACCTAGTTTGTATCTCTCTCTCTCTCTCTCTCTCTCTCCCCCCCCCCTTAGTTAATGAGCTAGCGCCTTAATCACTGAGCCACCGTGAGAAAATGGAGTTTGAATAACCACTCAACACACACTTGGTCATTTCGGAACTAACATGGTGTCATTTTTATAATTCGATTGCATGCAGATTCTTCTCCAGGAAGATTAAACCTAAGAAAGAGTGGCATCGCAAAATAAAATTCATTCATTCGTCACTGAATAGTTAATTGATGTTAACTTTTTTTTTCAGGTTGTAGAAAATGAGGAAAACGATCGTAGCTCTTCTTTTGGGGCTGGTTTTTACAGCTGTCTATGTCAGGGTAAGCTTGGTTTACCGTTACCATCACTCTCTAAGCGTCTAACCAATCAGCATTAAATGTTCGCATGTGACACATTCCTGTTTCTCCCAATCTGATTATAATACAGATCTATATTTCGTTTCGTTTTTGTATACTTTCGATGGCCTACACTACATGAAGATCTGGCCGGTTGTAGTAAATGGTCACGTCAGAGGTCGTACGAACAGCTTTTGACCGTATGACGTCAGACATTTGATTAACCATTCAGCATTGATGTTCCTAGTGCATTACCCACAGTTCCGTGCATCACACGCCTAAAGCTCGCCTTTTCATTGCTTAATCCCTCACCCCATCCAGAACACGTCAATGATAACAACTCTTCCAGATCCTAGTGTAGTAAAGACAAGTAAAACAAAATTTTGAACTATAAAAACGAAAAGAAATAGTATCTATGTTTTAATCAGATTGTGTTTTTCCAGTACCGTTGCTACGATAATAAACCATCCACGCTACATTATCAAACACTCAATACTTCGGTCAGAATGAAGTAATTTGGATGAAATTTTCAATATATTCATTTTTCATTATCGATGTTTGAACTATTATAGCAAGAACGGCCAGCTCTTTATCTAAATCTTACATAATCTATATTAACACACAAATAGCTAAATAAGCATTTTAAAATCTCATGACCTAGAATTACCTCAAGCTAGAGAAATGAGGTAAACAGAACATGTGTTAATAATATACACTCATTGAAATTATCTAAACAAAATAACTTCTACCGTGATTCATATTAAATTCTTCGCCACGAATTGTCAAATTCCCGAAAATCTGATTCCATTCATACTAAAAAGATCCGGAACCTAAATTGTTACTTTACATATGGAGGTAAAGGTGGGCAAGGAATGGTTGAAATTATATATTCCATTCTTGGAATTTGGTTTGAATAGTCATTCAAAAATTACATTTCCGTCCACTGGACATTATCGTCTTTCATAATATCAAATATTCGAACACAGGATCCATTTATACCCAAAATGTTTCTCTCTGCGCGTCTAAATTCCTTTCATACGACAGGCCGTCCGTTCCAACAAAAATAATTACCGCCTTACGTTATAACTTTCCTTTAAATAACCGAAACTTCCGACCATACAGTCGACTTCTGTGGATTTAAAGTACTAGGTTAAGCTGGCCTATACAAACTATTTTATGTTGATTCACGAGAAATAAATGAATACCAGTTAAGACTTGTTTCTGTAGACAAATTTACAAATAAAATAAATATATTTAAAATGTAAGCATTTCAAACAATCTTGGAGAGAGAGAGAGAGAGAGAGAGACAGAGAGAGACAGACAGAGATAAATGGGGTTTAACGTCCACTCGACACAAACTAGGTCATTTCGGGACTAACATATGGTTTAATTTTATTTTAATAATTCGCTAGCGCGTAGGGGTCTTTAGCAGTGGGAGGAAACCGGAGGACCCGGAGAAAACCCACGAGGTTGGACAGGCGACCCTACTCCTTGTCACGTACAACCGGGCATTCGAAACCAGAAATTTTTTGGAGGGTAATTCATTTTAAGAATTAAATTCAAACATTTCTTTTCCCCTGCGTTCTTTATTCTTCAGAAATGCACCCGATTTTTCGTATTTAAAAAACTGCACATGTAAAAATCGTTTCTTCTTACATCAACAAAAATCCAAACTAAAATGGCTTTTGTCTCATAAAAGACACTCTTTTAACATAATTTTGTTAGTTTTGAATTGACTTTAAAAGTAAATAAAATGTTAAATAAAAACGGTCTCTGTTGAAACAAACGGCGCCTTTCATACACTTTCCGCCGCCTTATCAGCTTGTTTTAGAAATGAGGAAATGAGTCACGGGTCAACTTATTCACACCAGTTGTTTCTAACATTTACTTTACATCATGCTAAAAATAAACTTTAATTTCAACTCAAAATGTCTTCTTCCATCGGACCTGGGACAGGACAAGATATAGGCAGGCGTTCAGATGGGATGCAAAACAGAAGTCCTGTGTACACATTAGCGCCGCTGTCCGAGCAAAAATTCCCCTATAGAACACTGTATGGCGTACGCCCATCTACATTAGCCCATAAGGATCAGAAAATTCCCTTCAGTATTTGAAGAAATGTGAATTGAAAATTCACCGATTCAATTCACCGATCTATGCTGCTCAATTGTGTTTTTGGCGTCAATTTCGTCCACTTCCGATCGCCGAAAGTCCATTTTGAAGTGACCTAACGAATACCCAACCTGATAGCACGCCCATGCACAGTCTGCTATACAATGATCCCGCCGCCATCTTGTTGTCCATGAATATTTAATGATGGGCCTGTTTTAAATCCGATTGAATCCAAGCAGGTAGATTATCTAGCGTTCATTTTTTATTAATTAAATGTTAAATAATCAATCTGAGTACATCAAGGCGGAGTAAGCTGCGAGCAATTTGATATTTCAGTGAAAAATGCCAAAAGCGCATCGGACTTTTAAGTAATATGCCGAAGGGAGGTTTAAGAATCCAAACCATTGAGTAACAATCTGATTAAAATACAGATCTATATTTCGTTTCGTTTCTTTATACTTTCGATGGCCTACACTACATGAAAGTAAAACAAAATTTTGAACTATAAAAAACGAAACGAAAATAGGATCTGTGTTTGAATGAGATTGATTGAGAAAGGTATAAAGCATCTTTAAGCCTTGATATATATGCCTTTAACTTTTTATCACCCAGACGTTATGTAAACAACTCAGAATAAAATATACAGGTGCGGGTTTTAATTTATACCACACGTATATCCTAATTGACTCAATGGTGCTAAATGCACCGATTGCAAAATATACTAAAATCACTACGGAAAATATATGTGTTAGCCTAAACCGTAGAGGTCGTAATTATTAATGTTAAAGGCTCAATACCACTCTTGTTGTAACTGAATAATATGTCCCAATCTTTATTCTGGTCAACAAATTGTACTATTTTAGAATATTTCAATTAATTGATGATACAAATTTCATCTTAATACACCTTATTTAAAAATTTTGAAAAATTCAACATAATGGTTTGAAACGTCTAACGTAAACCTTTTCAAATGAAACTTCGATTTAAAAATATTTTCGAACACTCTGGACAAGTAAAATAGGATGTAATGGATAATTTACACAAAAGGTAGGACACTTAAGCATCTAGTACTTAGATAGAGATATTATTTATTTTCTGGAGCTTTCAAGCCAGCAAGAGTGTTATTGTCCCTTTAAAGCCCTTCATCGTCATCAATATTTGTCGATCAAGTTCTCATCTTTAACCGATTAATCCACGCTAATATGTACTCAGATTGGTTATTTCACATTTGATTATGAAATTAAACCCAAAATATCAACGGTAGATCATAGCAAACTGTATGATCCGTCCGTGTTAGCCCAGTCAGTAGGATATTAAACGCCATTTGGTTTCAGTGGGGGGGGGGGGGGGTACGATGGCCGAAAGGTTAGCACGTGCACGCTGTATCATAAGGCCTGTTATTGAGTCAACTGGCGTGGTTTCGAATCCCCGGTTGTACGTGACAAGGAGTAGGGTCGCCTGTCCAACCCCGTGGGTTTTCTCCGGGTCCTCCGGTTTCCTCCCACTGCTAAGAGACCCCTACGCGCAAGAGAATTATTGAAATTAAGATAAACCATATGTTAGTCCCAAAATGACCTAGTTTGTGTCGAGTTGACGTTAAACCCTCTCTCTCTCTCTCTCTCTCTCTCTCTCTGCCTCTCTCCTTCTCTCTCTTACGATTTGGTTTCATTTGTTACCCACGTTCTTGTAAGGTTAGTGCTAAATGATAAGGCCAACTCAGTTTTTCGTCATAGGTCACGAGATGTAAACAGGGCTAGCGGTAATCCCAACCCTAAACCTAGCCCCAATGCTTACACGAACCCTAACCTACAATCTCGCCAACAATCACGTGCCCTACCTAACCTTATTTACATCTCAGCGCCCTTGACAAAAATTGAGCTGGCCTTAACAAAGAGATTTAGCCTTCTTGTAGCTATCTAAGAACGAGTATCTTTCTTTAATCAAGCCTCATATTTTGATTTGTGAATACGTATATGTCAGACGGGAGGTTGTGTTAGGGTTAACGCGTGTGCGTTGGATCATAAGGTCTGTCATTAAGTCAGTCGGCTTGGTTTCGATTCGCCGCTTGTACGTGACAAGGAATAGGATCCAACCTCGTGGGTTTTCTCCGGGTCCTCAGGTTTCCTTCCACTTCTAAAGACCCATAGCGAATTATTACATTAAAACTTCACCGTGTGTTAGTCCCAAAATGACCTAATTTGTGTTGAGTGGACGTTAAACCCCATTTGTCTCTCTATATATGTCAGACAGGCGTCTCTAGTTATTTACGAGTCAAGAGGACCAGACTGATTTGAACCTGGTGTAAGAATGTTGGCATTGTTTATATTCATTTAATTTAATCCAGTACAAGTCGATGTGACCTACTAGTAGGCGTACTAGCTGCATCGAGTTCTCCTACACATATATACAATAGGCCAACTATGTGGCTTGTATTTCACTTCTCTTCTGACATTAAAACAAGGACCACATTCATGTCGGCCTCTACACAGCGCCATCTACTGTATGTACCGGATGGTTAGTGCTAAATGATAAGGCCAGCTCAATTTTTCGTCATAATTCACGAGATGTAAACAGGGCTATCACGGACATCCAATCTGATTAAAACTCGGATCCTATTTCGTTTCTTTTTTTATAGTTCAAAATTTCGTTTTACTTGCCTTTACTACATTAGGATCTGGAGGAGTTGTTATGTAACCCGCGTTCTGGATGATGTGAGAGGTTAGCCAATGAAACGGTCTGTCACGGCAAGTTTTTGTCGTGAGGTGTGCGGAACTTTGGGTAAACCACTAGAAACGTGAACGCTGATTGATTGATTGATTGATTGGTCAAAAACCGCTCGTATGACACCTGACGCGACCTTCCACTACAACTGGTCAGATCTTCATGTAGTGTAGGCCAGCGAAAGTGAAAAAAAAAACGAAACGAAATATAGATCTGTATTTTAATCAGATTGGTCATTGGGAAGATCGTTTCATTTTAAATCCAATTTCAACAAGAACGACCCTCAAAAGACTTAATAATAAAATATTGTATTCTTCAGGCCAACATTGCTGATGACGATGATGACGTTGATGAGGAAGAAGTTGATGTAGAGGCTGTCGAGGCCAAACCACTTGTTAGTAAGTACCATTAACGTACTAATTAAAAAATATTAAATCTCTAACATGTTCTTGGATATCTAGCCAGAGTAAAGGGTCAAGCTGGAACAGCCCCCAGTTGGGAAGAGTCAAGCTGATATAGGGTCAAGTTGGAACAGCTCGTAGTTGGGAAGGGTCCAGATGGGGAATGGTCAAGCTGGTAAGGCTCTCATTTGGAAACGGCCAAGCTGGAATATATCTCATTTGGAAACGGGCAAGCTGATATAACGTCAAGCTGGAACAGCCCCCAGATGGGAAGAGTCAAGCTGGTATAGATCTCATTTGGAAAAGGTCAAACTGGAATATATCTCATTTTTGGGAACGGCCAATCTAATATAGCTTCCAACTGGGAATGGTCAAGCTGGTATAGCTCTGAGATGGGAACGATCAAGTTGGGAAATGGCCAAGCAGTGAATGATGACGCTGGAAATTATCATGGTGGGGCAGATCAATCTGGAATGGTCAAGCTTATGGGGAAGGGGGAGGGGAGGGATGCTTTAAGTTGGGTGAAAGAGTGGGACTGGGATTGGTGATACCCGTACTTTAACGATATATATGTGCATGATCCAATATGTTTATTAAAAATGAGGGGGGTTGGATGGTCTGTCATTGAGTCAACTGGCGGGGTTTCGATTGCCCGATTGTGCGTGACAAGGGGTAGGGTCGCCTGTCCAGCCTCGTGGGTTTTCTCCAGGTCCTACGGTTCCCCCCCCCCACACTGCTAAAGACCCCTATGCGCAAGCGAATTATTGAAATAAGATTGAACCATTTGTGAGTCCCGAAATGACCTAGTTTGTGTCGAGTGGACGTTAAACCCCATTTCTCTCTCTTTATTAAAAATGATTATGTTTTTTATAGATCCATGCGAGAATAAAGTGTGTAGAAGAGGTGAACAATGTGTTCTAGATGTCAACAGAAAACCATCGTGTGCTTGTTTAATGTCCTGTGAAGAGGAAGTGGATCAAAGATATTGGGTAAATAACATAAATAATTCAAGTACATTTCCCACCATATATCTCATTATTTTTTGGAAAAAATCAAGTATATGGTAATTTTGTACCATTATGTTGTAGTATTGGGTAGTATGTGGTGATATGGGAGTGGTATTTTGGTGGTATTGGGTAGTATTGGGTAGTATTGGGTAAATCGTCCCTCCGGAAATAATGCACTCCTGGACATAGGGCACCTGTCACGGAAATTGTCCGACATAGATTATCACACATACATCGTGGGATAATCTGAGACATGTACCTTATGTCCAGGCTGGCAAAAGAATCATATTAAACATACATTATACAAGAGCCAAATCTGCCTATTGCAGGTCTTTCTTCAGGCCTGGAATTTTATCTGAATTATTAATTAGACATTAATTAACTTATCCAGAATATAATCAACTCTCGATACCAATCGCTAGCTTGCGATATTTAGCGGATTGGGATATATTTTTTGAAAAATAATTAAACGTAAAAATGGACACTGCAGAACAGTAGGGCGTTAAATCCCATTTTATTCTAACGCCTCATAGCGCACTGTTTTTCGTATGGCCATCTTTATTATCCCAGTCGGTGCAGAACAGTAGGACGTTAAACCCCACATCATTTCATTTCAGGTTTGCAGTACCAGGAATGTAACATATAAAAGTGATTGTTTATTGGACCGAGATCATTGTCTGTGTAAAAGAAAAGAAAAGGGTTGCTCCAATCGAAATGAGAAACGGGTTCATCTAGATTATTTTGGAGGTTGTCGAGGTAAGTCTTGACATAGGTAGACTGACATCTCTGTCATTCTTGGGACCAGGAACTTGTCGCTAACCACTACTCACCTTGTTCTTCCTCTTGTTCGTCTTGGTGTTACGCTCTTCGAAAAAGCCTAAGGCTCCGTCAATTCAAGTCCTATCGACATGAAAATTGGCATGCTTCTTCTTGGGGTGAGGCTCTTCGAAGAAGCCTAAGGCTCCGCCAATTCAAGTCCGATGGACATCAAAATTGTCATGCTTGTTCTTTGAACAATTCTGCATCGATTTGGTAACATTGATTGTAGAATTTCATCCTAAAAACATAGTTATGATGTTATAACTGTGTCAGTCTTCGTTAAAAAAAGCTTTTCGAATTCTGTCTTTACAGAGTGCTAGGTTTATATGCAGAGAACAATACCTGTATGTTAAAACTATATATACCTGAATGAGGGGTAACTCTATGTACCATATGTACCAGTTGGGGTTTTTTTTAGCCGCGGTGGCTCAGTGGGTGAGACGCTGGCTCACTAACCAGGGGCTTGGTCTTAAGTTCGCTCCCGGAGTTGGCTGCGATTTTCCGATGCAGTCTCCCCTTAACAGTGGCAAGGACAGTGTCTTGTAATTTGAATGGGGCGAAAAAACGAGTGTGCACGTAAAAAACTCTTTGACAGTGGAATTCAAAATGTGTTCGACCCCGTTGTGGCCGAGAAAGTGCCTTGACAGTTGGAATTCGTTATAATAGTACACTGTATGGCGCAAGCCCGTTTTCAATGGCCCAAGCTTTTTTTTACATTCGTCGTTAACGACCGGGCAAACAAAACATCGTCAAATATCTTCCCAAAATGGGTGTGGTGATCCACTTCCGGAATTCAGTAGGCCTGTGACCTCAATGATCCGAGCTCCCTTCCTTGGAGAATTCTGTATTCTATTTGTCATGGTGATTATGGTATTTTTTTTTTATTTCAGCTTTAACAGATTGTCCTAAAAACGAATTCGAGGAATTTCCCGATCGCCTTAGAGAATGGTTATTCATTGTCATGAAACAGTTGGTATGTATACTTAAACTCCTATAGAAAAATATTTCAACAGGCCTGGAAATAACGGTTCTAGATGTACCTGACAAAATATCAGGCACTAATGAAATATTACCTGACATTTTCAACTTAGTGCTGGACATTTATTAATAATATCAATAAAAAAGACAAATCAATGCCAGACAAAATGACAGGTACCAGAGGTTTAGTGCCTGAAAAAGCCTGAATCTGCACCTGACATTGTTCTGTGACAGGTGCCTTATTTCCAGGCTTGCATTTCAACCAAATCCCTGAAAACATTTTAAATCTGTAATCTACTTGTATATATAAAATAGAGAGAGAAATGGGGTTTAACGTCCACTCGACACAAATTAGGTCATTTCAGGACTAACACATGGTTCAATTTTATTTCAATAGTTCGCTTGCGCGTAGGGGTCTTTAGCAGGGGGAGGACCCGGAGAAAACCCACGAGGTTGGAGAGGAGATCCTACTCCTTGCAATGTACAACCGGGGAATCGAAACCACGCCAGTTGACTCAATGACAGATCTCATGATACAGCGCGCAAGGGGTTAACCATTCGCCCCCCCTCCCCTTCTTCGATTGGGCAGCTTTCTTGTTCGGTATGCATTGGCACAGAAAAAGCAGTGTGTTAAACCCCCTTTCCTTTATTTATCCATTGTAATGCTGCCCATATATATATATAATTATATCTTATTCTTCAGGCTGGTCGCGATGAGTTAAATGAATATCTGGATCTGTTAGAATCTGCTAAAGAAGACGCCAACCATACCGATGCACTCATCTGGAAATTCTGTGATCTCGATACCAGCCCACAGGACAGGTAAGTCGTCATGGAAACTGGGGCAGGGGCATATACAGGTCTCAGTTCTATGGAATACAATTGTTACTATTTACTGAGTGACGTTTCGGCTAGGCTTCTCTAGTCATTATCAAACAATGATAAACTATAAAATATAACTAAACAATATATGTATAGGCTGGGGGCATTTATAAATAAATATGTGTAGCTAGGGTTCACCTCATCTTTTACTAAAGTTTCGGTTCAAAGAAAAATAGTTCGATAAATTTCAGTTGTTACATTAGTACAATACAAGATAGTTCCATAAGTTTTCTTTGGCATGGGTTAAGTTAGAAACTTTGATTACCGGTAATTTTCAATTTAAGAGAAAATAAATAATTTTCCGAAAACTGAAATATAGCACATAGGCTACCCCTTGTGGAAGTCAGTTGGTTCTTTTTAGTGAAATGTAATAGACCGGGGGGGGGGGGGGGTACCTGCGAATCGGTGGTTGTCCTTATTAACTCCGGAAATTATGTCTTGTTGATAGATATTTGTTTGCTGCTTTTGACCAATCAGATACCTGTACAGAGGTTACCTTATTCAAATGTTACAAATATCTTGTAGAAAAGTTTGCGGATTTTCTGATTAGCTTAACCGACCTGATACATTAAGCAGGCTTAAAGATATTTTCCATTTTCGTCTGAGTTGGAAACTAGTCCATTAAAAACAGGGGTTGGTTAAGGCATGTATTTTATGGGCTGAAGCTGGAGGGCCTCCAAAGATTACACGAAAAGTTATTTCATTAGTGAATCAACATAGGCTTATAAAAATTCAACAAAATCTTGTTTGGTGTGGTCTTTGTATAATGTACCAATATTTGTCTTGCAGACGAGTGAGCAGACGTGAACTTCAACATACCATCCAATCATTGAAAGCCATGGAACACTGTCTCGTGCCCTTCCTTAACGACTGTGATGCTAACAATGATCGTAGGATAACTATACGTGAATGGGGAAATTGTCTTAAAGCTGATCATGGTAAGTTATATTGACTGTATGACCTAGTCTACCGTCCAAAATAAAGCTGATCATGGTAAGTTATATTGACTGTGTGACCTAGTCTACCGTCCAAAATAAAGCTGATCATGGTAAGTTATATTGACTGTGTGATCTAGTCTACCCCCCCCCCCCCCCAATAAAGACTGGGTTACTGCTTCAAAGGTATTATATCGCGGACAATTGTTCAGGTAGCAACGAGCTAGTTAGAGAACAAATAGGCGGGAAGAAATCGAGATCCCGTGGGAAACCTGGGGCCGGTTTCACGAAATTTTAACTAAGATAAAATCAAAATTTTAGTAATTTGATTGGATAATATTAGACTGATTGTAGTGCTTAGCCAATCAAAATTGAAGTATCTACTAAAATTCGGATTTTATCTTTAGTTAAAATTTCGTGAAACAGGGTCCAGGTAGCAACGAGCTAGTTAGAGAACCAACAGGCGGGAAGAAATTGAGATCCCATAGGAAACCAGGACCCTTAACAAAACAACGGGCGCGAACTAGCTTGATCTTGTAACCACCACTCAGAAGCTGCAAAGGTCACAAGGCAAGAGTCCAAAAACGTGAGAAAATTAGATCGTAAGGACTAGACTATTATGACCGGACCTTTAAGTCGGACACATCTGGTGGGCTGCAAAAATGTAGCCTAATGCAATTTCAAAAACTTGTAGCTAATACTTGTCGAGTTTTGCAAAGCTTGAGAGGTAAAATATGCTTCTGTCAGCCTGGGAGTTGTGCTAAGTGCGCATGAGTACAAGAAACGCGGGTAGGCCTACATTTAGACGTCTGCCCACGAATGCAATAACAATGTACGAGAAAACATGAACCAGGAACGCACCTGTGGCATCATCACGGCCATCTTGGAATTGTGACGTCATGTCAAAAATCGAAGTCCGAGCAATAACAAGTACGAGAGAACATGAACCAGAAACGACCGCATGGCATCATCACGGCCATCTTGGAATTGTGACGTCATGTCCAAGCGATAACAAGTACAAGCAATATATACGTCATTGAGTACATAAACCACCTGGAATCATGTTTGGCTTCGTCACAGTCATCTTGGAATTGTGATGTTATATAAAAAATCGAAGCACAGTTATTATACAAAGAACATGCATGTTCTTAATTTGGCAGACCCAAAAACAAGAAAGAGTGTACGCAAGCAGTTCCTGGTTCTAAAATAATTCCTCAAATGAGCGCCTAAAATCTATCACGGTGTGCTATTAGGCCTGCTATTACATTGTGTAGCCTATAACTGCAGTAACACACATTGTCACACCCACACACTCACACCCACGACTTCATCCGGGCGTGGGTAAATGGTCTGAACAAATACATAGTTTTATTGCGGTTATTTATCGAACGCTAACTTTTCTTTTCTTTTTCTTTCAGTTAAACTTGAAAACAAATGTAAAGCCATCAGAAACGCACGTGGACAAAAACGACGTTAATAACAACCGGAAGTACACCAAATAGCTAACGACACACGTGATCTCATCAACGTGCATGTTCGCCTCAAAAAATTATTTTAAAATTAAATATCATATTTGATTAGATAGATAAACTATTGAATAAAGCACATTATTTCATGTTAATTACAGGCAATCTCTGCACAGTGCCATCTCACACCAGGCCTGCTTGAAAATATAGCATAGATGGTGCTGTTTAGAGATTGAAATATAAGAACACCTAGCAACAGTATTTTATCAGAAAGTTTGTCTTACGGTTAAAATATACCTTTATCATTTATACACGCATCTATAGCTTTATTTGTAAAACAACGTTGTCTCTCATTTTAATTATGTGTATGATCATAGGCTAAAGGGCAATAACTCTCGACGACAACCAGCGACTGGAAGTTCTTAAGTTCAATAAACATCACTGTCTAGTTTTTAAAAAAAAACAAGGTCAGTTGTCTGGGTAGTTGTGACTACTGACTGTGTTTGTTAGTTTTTCCAGTTACGAATATTTGACAACTGACCGGAAGTACTTAAGATGACCCTGGCTAGGCCTAATCATCTTGTCTGAGTTTCCAAATTACAGAGTAGTAGATATATGAAAATTCATCTACATAAATTCAGTTAATAACGACTCGTGTTGTTAAACGTGACATTAAAATCAATTGATATTTGGGGAAATTCCCCATTTTAATACGTCGTATCAAGTGTCGCTAAGTCACCAAAGAATCAGTCAGGATTATGGGCTCTGGTCATGGGAGTACATTTTTGAAAAGATTGTATTTTATATTCCACATACATGTGCCAAATATTCTATTTTTATACCATTGTACACTATAAATAGAATAGATATTCTAACCAATGATATTAGTATGCTAAAAAAAATTTTATTAACCCCCTCGTTCCTACTAACCCTTAAGTAATGCACCCATTTAACCGTTGCAAAACGAAGGATTTAACAATTACACGTGAGTGTGTGGACGGTCTGGGCAATGAACAATGTGACATCGAGACTAAACTCCTTATCCAGAACATCCAGTGTGGCCCTGTCTTTATCTGGAATATAAGTAGTGGGCTTAGAGAAAGCCTAGATTGTTTCAAAAGCACAAGGAAAACTACGAATGTCCTGACTCACGTTTAATCTTAAACCTCCGTCATTTGTTATTTGAAAATGCACGTCAACTAACACTGCCATTTTTATTGCATATTATTCGAAAACTTTTCTACTTTTGTTTTATTCAATTTGATGTGTTCTACAGAGTACTCACAACTTTCTGTCGATTTTATTAAAGGAGATCCCATTGGCTAGATTGTGATAAATTGGATCTGTGTATCCAATGGCGTAAATTGGTGCTTTTTGTCTATTGAATTATGTCGATTAGTTTTTTGTACAGATTTTTCACCCATGAAATAAAACAGTCATTGGCTAAAATGTTGTTGTTTTATAGCACGGGGCAGGGTGTGCATATCTTTCTGGAACACCCGATAACACTTCTCCTTAATGCTAGGTTCCCACTATCACGATTCGTTCTACGATTGAAATTGTGGCTAATGAAGACGAACATATGCCATATAGTGTGCTATGAGGTGAATTGTGCTCGGACAGTGGCGCTACGACCTTATTACAAATTCCAACTGTCAAGGGTCCTTTGAAGCGCATGCCATTGTGTACACGGGGTCTCGGCCTTTCGTTCTATATGAACGACTAAACATTGTCCCTTGTCAGGAATTCCGTCCGGCACCACGGACGAAGGGGAACCACGCCGGAAAATCACGATGCCCCCCCCCCCCGCAGCTGGACTGCAACCTTTTTGGAAAGCCGAACAGTGATATAAGTTTGAAGGTTACAAGCAATACCAGAGGCAATAACTCCACAAATAATTCCTGCGTAACTCTTAATTTCAATCAGGTTCATGTCTGTTAGTGATTACAAATACTTGGGCAGACTACTGGGCGGATCGAAAGACAATACCAACGACTAAATATGACAAGTATAGGGGTCTTTAGCACTGCCGGACTGGGGCCATCTGTCCACCTGTCCGTGACAGGTGGGCCTAAGCTCATTAAAAAAAAGTGGGCCTAAGCCCATAAAGAAAAAAGAAAAGAGAAGAAAGGAGAGGGGGAGGACAAAAAAGAAAGAAGGAAGGAGAGGACAGGATACTTGTGTGGGCCTTGGTCAATGACCTGACAGGTGGGCCTTTGGCACACCAGTCCGGCACTGGTCTCTAGCTTTGTGAGGAAACCAGAGAACCCAAGGAAACCCTATCTGATTAAAACACAGGTCCTATTTCGTTTCGTTTTTTTAGTTTAAAATTTCGTTTTACTTGTCTTTACTACATTAGAATCTGGAAGAGTTTTTTTTATAAAACCCGCGTTATAAATGATGTGAGGGATGAGCCAATGAAACGATACCGTACTGTGGGTAACCCACTAGAAACATCAACGCCTATTGGTTAATCAAATGTCTGACGTCATAGGTCAAAAGCCGCTCGTATGTCCCTTGACACGGCCTCCCACTACAACCGGTCAGATTTTCATGTAGTAGAGGACATTGAAAGTATTAAAAAAACGAAACGAAATATAGATCTGTAGCGGCTATTGACCCTATGACGTCAGACATTGATTACTCAATCAGCGTTTACGTTTCTAGTGGTTTACCCACAGTTCCGTGCGTAAAAAGGCCGATAACTTGCCGTAACAGACCGTTTCATTGGCTAATCCCTCACACCACCCAGAACACGTCAATGATAACAACTCTTCCAGATCCTAGTGCAGTAAAGGCAAGTAAAACGAAATTTTGAACTATAAAAAAACGAAACGAAATAGGATCTGTGTTTTAATCAGATTGTGACAGACCTTGTGATCTAAGGCGCAGTAAGTTATGTAAACACACACATAAATGATTTAGAATGTTTAATTCACTTGTGGTTGAAGTAGTAATAATTGGTGGTGTAACATCTACGTCCACGGTACTGATATCGCAGAAGTCGGATTCCTGTAAATACTTATTGATTCGACACCACTCGGCAAACTTCGGCAGATTCCGGCACCCTACATCTAGTTTCATTGGCGGACTTCGTCATACAGCCGAGGCTAGATGTAGGGTACTGGAATCTGCTGAGGTTTGCCGAGTGGATTCGACACTTCTTTTAATTCTAACGGCATGGATTTTTGGTACAACCAACTTCGCCATTTCTACAGAAACACTGGTTACAACCATCCATAAAGAAACCAAACTGGCTATACGCTTGTCCTTTATACGTACATCCACCTGTAAAATACATGTAAAATACAACATGTTACATTATAATACCTTCGTGCACATGTTAAAAAGGCATATTCCCGTTAGAGTAGAGCTTTTCTGTACCGACTAGGCCAATGAAGACGCCATGCCGTGTGCAATGAGGGGAAATTTTTGCCCTGGCAGCAGCGCTACGGCCCACTCTAATTACAAATTCCAAGTGTAAAGGACGGATTCTTTTACGTGCACGGGTGGTTTTTTTTTCGTGCCTTGACAATTATCTATAGTAGAACTGAAATGAAATGGAGTTTAACGCCCTACTGTTCTGCTCCGACTGGGCTAAAGAAGACGGGCATACGCCATACAGTGTGCAATGTGGGAAATATTAACCCGGACAGCGGCGCTACGGTCTACTCTTACTACGAATTCCAGCTGTCAAGGATTCTTTTACGTGCATGCCAATATATACACTGGACCTCGGTTTTTCGTCCCTTACGAACGAAAATACGTTGTCCGTTGACAATTATCTACAGTCAAACTGTTAACTTGATTATAAAACAGTATTCACGTGTGTATCGAAAACAGTTAATGTTATTAAATCAGTTATTGTTTGTAATATTCATGTATAAAATAGTTATTATTTCAAATATTTGTGAATAAAACAGTTATTATTTCTATAGTGTATATTTCTTATAACATTCGTTAGGTATAAACATTAACTAGATGTTTTATACTCGAGCTAATGTTATAACCAATAACTACACGAATGTTATAGTTGTTTCATACTCGACTCGAGTGTTATAAACAATAACTACACGAATGTTATAGTTGTTTCATACTGTTTTATACTCGAGTGTTATAAACAATAACTACATGAATGGCATAACTGTTTTATACTCAAATGTTATAAACAATACCTACATGAATGTTATAAATGTTTTACACTCGAGTGTTATAAACAACATGAATTGTATAACTGTTTCATACTCGAGTGTTATAAACAATAACTACATGAATTGTATAATTGTTTTATACTCGAGTGTTATAAACAATGACTACATGAATTGTATAACTGTTTCATACTCGAGTGTTATAAACAATAACTACATGAATTGTATAATTGTTTCATACTCGAGTGTTATAAACAATAACTACAAATGTTATAACTGTTTCAAACTCGAGTGTTATAAACAATAACTACATGTATGGTATAAATGTTTTATACTCGAGTGTTATAAACAATACCTACATGAATTGTATAACTGTTTTATACTCGAGTGTTATAAACAATGACTACATGAATTGTATAACTGTTTTATACTCGAGTGTTATAAACAATGACTACATGAATTGTATAACTGTTTTATACTCGAGTGTTATAAACAATGACTACATGAATTGTATGACTGTTTTATACTCGAGTGTTATAAACAATAACTACACGAATGGTATAACTGATGGAAGATAATTAATATACAAGAATCATACCTGTTCTCTGTACATTCAATAGATCGTCACCACCATTCCGATTTCGATTACGGTTGCGATTGCGGTTACCATTCCGGTTATCATTCCGGTTACCATTCCGGTTACCATTGGGGTTACGGTTACCATTACCCACACAGCCTTTAATCGTACATCGAACACGACCACCGTGACATGAACACCAGTTACACTCATTCATGAAATTCTCACCATCTTCATATGTATCACCATTAAATGAACATGTCGCTGAAAAACGTAATCAGGTTTGAATTATTATCATAAAATCTCTTTTGTGTCGGTACTTTTGTTGTATGCAATATCAATCTTAGTGAAAGTCGGGGTGAAACCCCCAGCTAGAAAGGGGGGGGGACAGTATTGTCCTTATAAAATGGGTTGGGAACCCTCCACAGGTGGACTTTGGCCCCGAGATTCTCCTTTAGTAGCTCCCCGGCCAAAGAAGAAGGGGTATTAAGGATTTCTGAACGGAGAGGCTTGTCCTTTTGATCATAACGTCTGTCATTCAGTCAATTGGCGTGGTTTCGATTCCCCGCGTGTACGTGACAAGGAGTAAGCTCGTCTTTCCAACTTCATTGGTTTTGTCCGGGTCCTCCGGTCCCACTTTTTAAGATCCCTACGCGCAAACAGAAATATAAGGGAATGGCAAACCATGCTAGAATATTCGTTGTACGTGCGCCGATAAACAACAGTTTATCCTGTTCTAACGGGGCACTATCCACCAAAACCTCCTGTCTTCATTATCCTGGTCGATAAACCCCATTTCATATCAATTCATTCCCTCTAGATTCTAGATATCCCCAAATGAATTCTTTGGTACACTTTCAGCGCATACAAAAAAGGACTGGTGTTTGTCTTATCCTACAAACAAAAAACATTTTCTAAGACTATGCTCTGCAAGTATTGTAGAGTCGTATGTTACCTGGCCGACATTTAACGTGTGTGCTTAAAGGGACAATAACACTCTTGCTGGTTTGACAGCTCCAGAAAATAAAAAATAGCCTTATTCTAAGTACTATTTGTGTTAGTGTCCTACTTGTTGTGTAAATTATCCATTAAATCCTATTTTACTTGTCCAGAGGGTTCAAAAGTATTTTTAAATCCAAGTCACATTTGAAAAGCTTTACGTCAGGCTTTTCAAATCATTTAGTTGAATTTTTCAAATTTTTTAAATTAGGTGTGTTAAGATGAAATTTATATCACCAATTAATTGTAATATTGTAAAATAGTACAATTTGTTGACCAGAATAAAGATTGGGACATATTATTCAGTTACAACAAGAGTGGTATTGAGCCTTTAAGATATGTCATTGGGTTAAGTGGCATGCTGTCGATGCGTGACAAGGATTAGTGTTCCAGCCCTGACCAACCTCGTCCCCTACTCGCAAGCGAATTATTGCAATAAAAATGGACCATAAATTAGTCCAAAAATGATCTAGTTTGTGTTGAATGGATGTTAACCTCTCCCTCTCCCTCTTCCCCTCTCTCTCTCTCTCTCTCTCTCTCATTAACAACCGACAAGGTGCCAGTAGTAACCAGCGGCTGTCGGTCGCGATATGCATTCAAATTCACATTAAAGTTATTATAGAAATAATAAATTAGTAGCCTAGAAACTTACGACGAGCAGTAGCGACTTCAACTTGACTAGACGTTTCTTCTTCGTCACTATTTGTACAACCCATCCTCATACAGGTCGCTCTACCATTACTACATGAACAGAATCTACAGCCGTCTCTCCAACTTTCACCATCACCATAGGTCGTACCTTTGTAACTGCATTCACCTTAAAGAGGCATTATGGGAGATTAGATAAAGAGTTGACAGTTCTCGCTATAATAGGTAAAAATAGATAACGTGCGTAATTAGAATATGCTGAAAATTTCAGTCAAATTGTTCCACTCTGAACCGAGATATTAGCTTTTGAACTTTAGGCTAGCCTCGATTATCATTACTAAAGTTGGTACGATAAATAACAAAGCCTCGATTATCCACTTTTACGTTTAATTATTTTTCAAAAAATGTATTCCAATCCGCTAAATATCGCAGGCTAACGATGGCATCGAGGGTAAATTATGGTCTGGATAAGTTAATTAATTTCTAATTAATAATTTAGATAACATTTCAGGCCTAAAGAAAAACCTGCAATAGGCAGATTTAGCTCTTGCATAATGTATGTTTAAATTAGGACCAGTTGTACGCATGACAATGAGTAGGGTCGCCTGTCCAACCTCGTGGGTTTTCTCCGGGTCCTCCGGTTTCCTCCCACTGATAAAGACCCCTACGCGCAAGCGAATTATTGAAATAAAATTAAACCATATGTTAGTCTCGAAATGACCTAGTTTGTGTCGAGTGGACGTTAAACCCCATTTCTCTCTCTCTCTCTCTAAATTAGGACGTTAAATGAAATGAAATGAAACCGGATACACGACAGAATGTTTTCAAACTCACTGAGGTGGCATATGGAAAAACTGAAAATGAACTAGGGTTTAAAGGACATTATTACCATGTCCGTGCATTATCATGTTTTCATTAAGTATAGAATGAATAAAAACAAGGGAATGTACGGACTATTTCTATTTTTTTCGTTTTCTCTTATCTAGTGACATTCAATTACTGTCTTGAATTGTAAGATATATTCTCAAGTCTCACATAACAACTGTTGGTCTTCGAAGGAATTATTAGTGAGTAGAAATTCGCTTGAAGGATAACTCGTGTTTTCTTTTTGCGTTCGTCACTTCTGTTTATTGAAATCTTCATTACGCATCTATCGTAGCAATGCAATGATCTGTGTGTTAAAATTATATTTGGAACGTGTTTAACCAGTTCTATCACATATGTGATAATGACTGACACCAATATTGTCCTTTAACGTCGTACTGTTTTGCTAAGAAATCGGACATAAGCCACGAGGGAACTTAATTTGTCCGGAAAGCGGCGCCACTGCCTACTCTTATTTCGAATTCCAACAGCCATGAGTTCTTTACATGCACGTCAATGTGTACGCGAGACCTCGGTTTTCGTCCCATCCGAACGACTATACGTGGTTTCCTGTCATACCCTCCGTCCAACATCACTGATAAGTGACAAGTGGAAACCACGCCGGAAAGTCAAGATGAACTTTTTCACGGAGATCGAACACGGGGCCTCCAGGTTAGCGAGCCATGACGTTAAGATGACGTCGACTCACTATCCAGGGAGGTCAAGAGTTCGAAACTGGTGTTGGGCGGGAAAGGGCCTGGTGACAACAAGGCGTCTAGTCAAGTGTTTCCACATACTCGCCACTGAGTACTATCAAGACGATGCTGCTGGGCCTCGATTTATTTACGCCATCCGAACGACTATGCGCTTACCCTTAATGCGACCTGCCATCCAAGATGTTTCTCGGCCAACACCGGTGCGAGCACGAGACCTCAGTGCCACCATCATGCTCATTGCCGATCCGTGGCTAAAATAAATCAGTCAAAATTTAAGTGCAAGACAAGACTTACCTGCAGATGCAAGACCAATGATACAGATGCCGAGAAAAACAGTAATGATGTTCATCGTGATATATACGATAATGATATCTGATGAAGATGTTTATCGGGTTTCAATTTATATACACGCTAATTAAAATTATATTACCATGCATTTTCCGCTCATAAATCTTCATAATAGCATATAATTGTACAATTGACTAAGCGACATTAACAAATTAATCATTAAACTTTAATAAATCTGTTATAGTTGTGTTTTAATTTGACCTAAAAATGTCATCTATGACAATTAACCATTTTTCCTTTGTTCAGTTTTTTTTCTCAAATCGACATGTGGGTTGGATTGCCGAATGGTATATAGCGCGTGGGCGCTGTATCATAAAGTCTGTCATTGAGTCAACTGGCGTTGTTTCGATTCCCAGGTTGTACGTGACAAGGAGTTTTCTCCGGGTCCCCCGGTTTCCTCCCACTGCTACGCGCAAGCGAATTATTGAAATAAAATTGGATCATATGTTAGTACCGAAATGACCTAATTTGTGTCGAGTGGACGTTAAACCCGTGGCATTTCTCTTTGCTTTGACCTCTGTCAGTGGTGCACATGGAATGGCTGATAATGTCTAGTCGTTCGGATGGAATAAAACCAAGGTCCTGTCTACACATTGAAGTACACTTAAAGCGGAAATTTCAAATTTTTAAGTTATATTTTTAAAATTTATTAAAATAAAGCCTTAAAATAGATGGTATCCATAAACAGTCCTACCTTGTTAAATAATAATCCTATAATTCACTATTGCCAGCTGAGAAATTGGCAAAAATATCATTTTCAACTTCAAATTCCAACGTTGAGGAAATGATGGACCATTGTTTTCAATAGGAAAACAAGGGAGGTAATTGTGTTGTTATTTCCTGTGTAAATGAGTTTTAAGTGTGAGAATGACACCTATGATCGTATAATAGTGAGTTGATAACCTGGCAAAAATATCATTTTCAACTTCAAATTCCAACGTTGAGGAAATGATGGACCATTGTTTTCAATAGGAAAACAAGGGAGGTAATTGTGTTGTTATTTCCTGTGTAAATGAGTTTTAAGTGTGAGAATGACACCTATGATCGTATAATAGTGAGTTGATAACCTATTGAGCAAAAGACATAGAAATAATTATGTTTTGACTTTCTTAGAAAATATGAAATTCTCGCTTTAAAGGAATTTGAAATAAGAGTAGGCCATAGCGCCACTGTCTGGGCAAAATTTCCCTCATAGCATACTGCATGGTGTATGCTTGTCTTCATGAACCTAGTCGGAGCAGAACAGTAGGACGTTAAACCCCCTTTTTTTAAATTCCATTTATTTGATTTTCCAAAGAAGTATGTCTAGATTTTAAATTCTCAGAGCTTTTATTGAGATTGTCAGATTTTTTTTAAGGTAACAAAAATTAGTCAAGAAAAAACGAGAAAAATAGAAAAAGTCCGTGCATTACCATGTTTAACTTTTTCTATTTTTCTCGTTTTTTTCTTATCTAGTGACAGTCAATTATTTTTTTGAAATTTTTTTATCATATATCCTCTCACAGTCTCACACAACAACTTTTGGTCTTCGAAAGAATTATTAGTGAGCAGAAATTCGCCCATCTATCTGTTATCACCCGTCACTTCAGTCAGTTATATAGAGGGATAACTCGTGTTTTCCTTTTGTGTTCGTCACTTCCCTTTCTTGAAAGCTCCATAACGCATCTATCGTAGCAATGATCTCTCTGTTAAAATATATTTGCCCCCCCCCCCCATTAATCTGGTCTGCCCTCTGTTTGCCCCCCCCCCCCCCCAATAATTTTAGAAAATAAAAAAAAGTATTTGTGACCCGTTTCGGTAATCAATACCTTCTACGGTGAATAAATCCCACATCCTCACTCAGTCATAAACTTTCATGTTGTAGAGCATTTCCGACAGTCTATTTTTCAAAATTTTCTTGGCGAGGTCCCAAATGGACTCGCTACTTTGGCGCTCACAAGAGGAATTCGTTGAAGTTCGCAAGTCCGTTCGTTTGACATTTTGTTCTCTAGTCGGATAAACTAGTGATCAGGCGACGGACGGTATCCTGTCAGATCTATTTATCTCGACGATCGGGGCCTGACCGAATACTGTAAGATAGCATTTCCGGCAGTCTGTTTTTCAAAATTTTCTGGGGGAGGACTCCCTACTTTGACGCTCTTGAGTGGGCTTCGTCGTGATTCGTAAGTCCGTTCGTTTGACACTTTACCTCATCGATCAGTGCCTGAAATACTGCCAGGCTGCATTTCCGGCAACCTGTTTTTCAAAATTTTATGGGGGAGGCCCCCTACCCCTAGTTAAAACTCATGCCTTTGCCCCCTTAACCTTGGACTTTGCCCCAGCTTTGCCCCTCCAATCACCGACGGCTGGCGCCACCACTGTGACTGACACCCCCATTGTCCTTTAAGTAAATGACCGCATTTGTTAAAATAATTGCGTGAAATCTACGTATAGAACCAGAATTGTCAGCTGGCGCAACATTGTTTCCGGGACATGTCGACTTCTCGCTGTGAGAAGCAGAGATTATCAAATGCCCGCAATAGGCGTCCAAATGAGGAAGGTAGTCATTCTTATTCGTAATCACTACCTTTTAAAAGTCCATGGTAATATTTAAAACCAGAATCTCGATTGTAAGCATGGATGTGATAATATTTAAAACCAAAGTTTCTAATGTAAGCATACAACTCCTAAACAATATCTTTAAAAGTCCATGGTAATATTTAAAACCAGATGTAAGCACAAAACTCATAAACACTGAATCTTTAAACTCTTAAACTACAAAGGCAAACTCTTAAACTGTGGTAATATTTAAAACCATGCAGAATCTCTAATGTAAGCATAGAACTCATAAACATCGAATATTTAAATGGTAAACTCTTAAACTCGAATGATGTAGTGGGTTATACATCACTGAAACCCAGAATTCTAAACGTTTGGTCATTAAAGGTTGGAATCTCTAATGTAGGTGGGGATCACGTGGCTAAGTGGGTAAGACGCTGGCTCGCTAGCCTGGAGGCCGGGTGTTCGATCCCTGCATTGGCCGAGAAAGTTCGTCCCGATTTTCCGGCGTGGTTTCCCCTTGTCAGTGATGCAGGACGGAGGGCCTGACAAGGACAGCTGTCTAGTCGTTCGGATGGGGCGAAAACCCGAGGTCCCCGTGTACACATTGGCGTGCACGTAAAAGATCCCTTGGTAGTTGGAATTCGATATAAGAGTAGGCCGTAGCGCCGCTGCCCGGGGAAAATTTCCCTCATAGCACACTGTATGGCGTATGTCCGTCTTCATTAGCCCAGGTTAGGAGCAGAACAGTAGGACATTAAACCCCATTTCATTTCTAATGTAGGTAGGTTACACTCTAAAACACAGGATGTCCAAAATGTTTGGGGTTTTGTAAAAGTCAGATCCTAATTAATTTACGACTGCAAATAAGGATAGAAAGACAATAGTTATATGAATAGTATATGGTTTGGTATTTTTTCATAAAATACACTTTTCTTGGCAATTACTGGACCTAGTCTTGAACGCAGAATCTGTCGAAAGTGTCATTGGTACTTTTTCTTGTTATTGCCGATGAATTGAGGACTGTTGGTTTCTTCGACGTTTAGCCCCTAGACAATTAATAATTATTTGATAATTTGGTGAATATAACATGTGAAGTTTCTGTAGACAATACATTACTTACGATATTTCGCGTTTTGGTTCCAACAAAACGCATTTAAATTTGGGTCAGGCTAGGATGGGGATTTTTGCGGAGATTGTATTATTGTAGGGTTCTTACGGTATTCGACGTTCATCAAAAATCGACTCCGCCACTCCGGTCGGTTACTATGTCGTAACGTTAAGGCCTTCGCGGATATGACTCTCCGCATCAAGGTCTCCCGTTATTTACCACTGACAAGCTTCAAATTAGGTTTGATGTAGATACTTTCATATGTGTGGAATAATAGGCTACTGTCTGAGTTCTGGTCAATTGTGTTAGGTTGGGGACCCCCACATGCTCAAGACCCCTGAGCCCCCACCATGTTTAACCCGGCGCTGTCTCCATTCTATATCTGTGCTAATTGATGGTGTGTTGAACAGTGGGCCAAAATTAAACTGGTTAGGCCTAATTATCTCGGGCATCCGTCAACGCAATATATATATATGAAATGAAATGGGATTTAACGTGCGACTGTTTGGCACTGACTGGGCTAATGATGACGAGTTTACGCCATAGCCTACAGGTGTGCTATAAGTGAAACTTTGCCCAGGCAGTGGTGCTACTCTTATTTCGAATCTCAACTGTCACGAAATATTATACGCTCAAAACTGTGTACACGGGGCCTCGGTTTTTCGTCCCATCCGAACGACTAGACAGCTGCCCTGCACCACTGACAAAGGGAAACCACGCTGGAAAATCCCGAGGAACTTTCTCGGCAAACACTCTGGCTATAGCGAACCAGCGTCTTACTCACTTATCCACCGCGACTACCGCAATATATGACAAGCGTGCATGCTCATGCTTTGCACTGTACGTGTCACGTTATAATACGCCCACGCAAATGCTTGCCCGATTGCTCACAATATTCGCAGGTAATGCATGTCCTAAAACGGTAAAGGGGGAGTAACTCCATTCTCCGACTTCTTTTTTCAAATTCCTCTGGTTTGTTTGATATTCTTTAGTTATTACCTGGCACCCGTACCTTTTCTATTTAGAATTGATACATTTATTCAATTCTTTCCTAAATCTAAATCCAATAAGCAAAAATATTAATCGTATGGCCGAATGTAGCAATATTTGGGAGTTCTAGGAAGCCAGTTCTACTTTCGTTTTCTACTCTCGTGCATGTGTACAGCCTCGTTTTCAGTTACCGGTACCATGTGATATTTCCCCCATATTAAGATTTTGGAAATATGGCTTCTGAACAGGAAGATCTAAATGAGGTAAACCTTGATCTTTGGCCTTCTTCAGATTTTAGATTATATTTCGATTGATGTCCGTGTATCCGAAACATCCGACCTTCTAGTAAAATAAGAAAAAAATTACGATAAGGCGACGGGAAAGGATAATTTGTTGAAAGTATGTCGCGTGTATTAGCAACAATCTGTTCTCGGCCAGTTCAGAAAGTGTGTGAAACAAACTAAAAGACAATGGTGTGTAATGTTTCACATTATTATGTAACGTATCGTTGGTACATATTTGACAATAATATTTCTTTGTTGTACAAAATAAATCGTACATATGGTCATCGGGTTTGGTTTCTTTATGATATTTAGTAATCATACCCTCCAGTCTTGATTTATATTAAATATTTTATGACTTTCCTTGTTGGCATGTAAGTTTATTTAATTAATCCTTTCTTTTGCTTCAGTTTCGGAAAAAAAAATCATTTATAGGCATTATGGGGTCGCTTCATATTGTGTCTTGAATTTTCTGAACTGAGACGATCGGAGAATAGTGATGTAAATTTGTCATCAAACGCTACGAATATATTTCAAATGTGGTGATGATTGGCGATTTGAAACACATGGTCACATGTTCGGCAATTTTTGATAATTTTTGTGGAAATAAAATATGCCGTTGGGGGGGGAGAGCGATTACGAAGGACCGAGGACAGCAATAATATACCCACCTATATTAGGATTTAGGTGAGCGATGGAGTGCGAGAGCGACAGTTCCCTTAATAATTGGTCATTATAATAAGAGCTTTGAAAACAATCGCTGTCTGATGAAGAAAAACGTTACATTGCAGCACTCCTGTTCTGATTACATTTTGAAGGGATGGGGAGATTAGAATGATTTCAAGTTCTTCCTATTATTCTCGAACAGACAACTACTTTGCTTCCACAAATAACTAATAAAACCCCAAAATAACTGACAAAGTGGTATAGATAGATATGTGAATTCACGAGACCATATGATAAATATAAATATAAGTTTCTGTTATCAATTTTCAAGTGGATGTCCTGATTTGTATCGTTATGAACATTTAATAACTGATAATCTAGATTATACTTTAATTAATAATACAACAAGCAAATAAGTTATCAATCAATAGTTGTATTTTCAACTCTATATAGAAAAGGTGGGAGAATGTTGTGCGCATGATTATACCATTGACAAAGACTACAGGGAAACTTATCAGCAGGTGAACCATTTTATGGGCCTACATGTACAGGTGCCTATAAATTTGGGGATTTATAGATAGTATGGTATGGTACGGTACTGTCTTGTTCGTCGGTTTGCCTTATTCCTTATTGTTTTCTGTTTGTTTATATTGCAGTTCTACTGCATTTCATACTATCAAGCGGTGGACACCTTAGCCAAATCAATCGGCGCCAAATTTTATTTGGTCTAATGGGTGGACACACTAGGCGAATCCTTCGCCTGATTTACCTTTCACGTCACATGATTAAACAGGGCTTGCCACGAGCAAATTGGAGGCGAGTAGATGACTACTCACGCAAATATAGACTTGCGCGAGTGAGGCGAGTACATGTATTTACTCACGCAGAATGATGTGCATGAGTAGCCATTTAAATCTCATGTGCCTAATGGCAATGCTCTTGTCACTTCGGTGGAAGCGGACGTTGAATAAAGCTATTTCACACACAATGACAATGCATACTCTTTTATTTCCTTGGCAGTAATATTATCTGTAAATCGTCTTCCCATGACAAGAATGTTGCAAGAGAAACTGGGCTTCCCTTTGCCATCGTGGGCGTGCTGAGGGGATTCGGGTAAAGCTTAGAAAAGTAAAAGAACAGGCAAAACAATTTCAATCCCATCAATTTGCAGAAAAGATGAGGGATCGAAAGAATTGCTATTAATAGAAACGACAACATCCGCTCAATGTTTGATTATCCAGACACAGCAAAGGACATCCGCTTAAAAACCGCCTGGCAGTACGCATCTCAAAGTATTTTTAGTAACAACAGTTGGCACTGGAAAGACAAGCCGCGTGCGCAATAGTGCATCGATATGAAGGCATACAAATTGTTTACGGCTTTTTATATTACGATATTCAATTATTTCTGATTAAATTATTTTTTATATTTGCGGGAGTACTTAATCACTCACGTAAATTTGGTTTTACGCGAGCGTAGCGTGCGAGCGAGTAATTACTCGCGTCTCGTGGCAAGCCCTGATTAAACATGGCGCCAATCATGTCTTTAAACATTCATGATATGAGTGGATGATCAGTGGTGAATGGCTAATGGACTCTACAATCGGGTGAATGCTTCTGTGAAGCAGGCGCACTCGGCCAAATATATCAAACATGGTTGATTCAACCGAATAGAACTTCAGCCAAATGAAAAATGGACACGCTAGGCGAATTTCAATGCCGATTGATTGGGCTGAATCATTCAGCTAGTGTTTCCACTGCTTTAGATGTGTTATCCACTTCAACATAGGCCTATTACCTCGATATCCCATTTAATCTAATGGTTCTCCGAGCAAAATCATCGTCGCCGTGAAGGGTACACATGCGATTTTTTTTCTAGAAATTTTAAAAATCGGCGCAAACTAGTGAAAAAATATGCTCGTCTCCACCCCAATTAAGCCCTGTAGGTGCAGAAAAGTAAGATCTTCAACCCCATTTAATGACATGATGACGTCTAAACTTGTAATTTTGTTATTTTCAGATGAATGTGGAAGGAGGTGAAGAAGAGGGTGCTACTTCCCCAGAACTTGGTGAAGATTTGTCGTCTGATGCATTAATAAAACATCCATTACAGAACAGATGGGCCTTGTGGTTCTATAAAAATGACAAAACCAAAAATTGGGCAGATAATTTACGCAAAGTTATAGCATTTGACACAGTAGAAGATTTCTGGGCGTAAGTTTTGTGACATAGTTTAATGTTGTTAAAAAGAAAATGGCCAATGATTAATCTCATTTCTCCCTCCCATGTTTCATCGGAAAGTTGATTTGATAAGATTTATCAAGAATCGTTAAACAGAAAGTCTGTGTTCATTTCTTAAGTCAAAGCAATACTACAATAGGTTAACTCCAGGTCCTGTGCTTTCCTCCCACTGCTAAAGACTTCGATGCGCAAGCGAATTATTGAAATAAAATTGAACCATATGTTAGTCCCGAAATGACCTAGTTTGTGTCGAGTGGTCGTTCAACCCCATTTCTCTCTGTGTCATTGAGTCAAATGGTGTGGTTTCAATTCCCTGCTTGTAAGTGACAAAAAGTAGGGTCATCTGTCCATCCTCATGGGTTTTCTTTGAGTCCTCCGGTTTCTCTCTTCCTCTGTTATAAAAATTTGAAAAACAACCAGGCACATATCCAGGGGATCTGTAACTTGTTGTAAGGCCTGTTGACATAGATAATTAAAAGTGATACCATTTTGAATTTACTCATGTTTTTATTTGTTAATCATTTCAGATTATATAACCACATACAGAAAGCCAGTAAACTGATGTCAGGCTGTGACTATGCATTATTTAAGGTAGGTTTAAGTTAATTCTATTGTATTCAATGACGGATACAATGCTGTACAAAAAAAAAAACCCAAGGATTACAACATGAACATAAAAACAGTCATCCGTATCTCCTTGCTGGTTGCTGTTAAAACCCTGATTCAGTACAAAGTTCTGCCATTTGTCTTCTCTATGTCGATATCATGTTGCTTGGTTATATTTGTGGGAACTTTTGACCACTGTAAACCCAAATGTACCTCACTTTAAAATTGCTATTATCTAATTGACTTAAAAATTTATACACTGTGTTTAAGGTCTTTGAGACGAAGAATCCTATTGGTTTACATGGATTTCCGATAACTTGAACAGCTAAATTCTGATGGTGAAACGATTGTTACTCTTAATCAATTTTTTGCTTTCATTACCGACAAAAGAAAAAATATGTGACAACCTTGGTGCACTGCTCGGACGACTTAACTGCTGTGGGCCTATGTTTTGTTGTCTGGCAACCTATCTTGTCCTGTATTGTGTATACTGGTGTATAATTTATACAATATATTTATAGGATGGTATAGAGCCCATGTGGGAAGACGCACAGAATAAACGAGGTGGACGATGGATGATAAATTTAAATAAACAACAAAGACATTCAGATTTAGACAGATTCTGGTTAGAAATGGTAAGTAAGTGCAGGAGGACTGCACCACACACAAACAATTACACAAGACAAATCTATGGACAGGACACAATATACAAACACACATATCACATCAAGTGAATGGATCCAGGGACTAACCGTAAGTGTCCACTGCACTTTACAGTCACGGGCCTTGGGTGATACAGACTTGACCCAAAATTTTAAAAAAATAATAATAAGGGAAGCAACTTGAGAAAAAAGGGGAACATTTCCCAAACGTTGTATCGTGCTAGTATGAGTCATGATCGGGTATGAAATCTATTCTGGAGCGTTCAATCGAATATCCCTGATGTGTTTGACACAAGATAGTCCGGTTGGAGCTGACGTGCGATATAACTCCATTTCAGTCATTTAATACCCATTTGATTTGAACTTGATTTTGATTTGAAATTGATTTTGAACTTGATTTTAATTTTAACTCAATTTTGATTTTAACTTGAATTTGATTTTAATTTAATTTGATTTTGACTTGATTTTGATTTTCACTTGAGTTTGATTTTAATTTTAACTTAATTTTGTTTTAACTTGATTTTAATTTTAACTTAATTTTGATTTTCACTTGATTTTGATTTTAACTTGATTTTATTTTCAGTTATTATGTTTAGTGGGTGAGGCGTTTGATGATTTTAGTGATGATATTTGTGGTGCTGTAGTTAATATAAGGAACAAGGGCGATAAGTTAGGATTATGGACGAAAGATTCAACCCGTGGTGAAGCTAATGTAGAAATAGGGTAAGTTATATTTTATTTTTCTTGGACATTTCGTTATCTTTAATGGCTCAGTGAGAAAGACGGTGGCTTGCTAACCTTTGGGTCCCTTGTTTGATCCAGTTGATGACGAGGAAAGATTATCGGGATTTTTCTGCCGTGGTTCGCCCTTGTTAGTGACAGAGGGCCTGGCAAGTGACATCTATAAGAGTAGGCTGTTGTGCCGCTGTCGAGGTAAAATGTATTGCATGGCATGTCTGTCTTCGTTAGCTCAGTCATAGCAGAACAGTAGGAGATAAAACCCCATTTCATTATGTTTAATAAGACTTTAGTTGAGAATAATGATTATCCTATGATATACATTGAGACCTATGTGCTGATTGTGGGCAGGGCATGGCAAAATGACCATCTTTATTAGCGCACTTAAGGCAAAAAAGTAGCATGTTAAATCCCATTTCTTTTCTGACTAGTCAAATGTGTGCACAGTGCCAAAGAGTAGGGTCGTCTATATAACTTTATGGGTTTCTCCTGGAAAACCCTTGCCTTATGTTAGTCCTGAAATGGCCTGGTTGGTGTTGAGTGTACACTAGACCATACATAAATAGAGAGTTTCAAGATTAGGTTTGGCCTAATAACGTGCCTTATTGGTTCCGAGATTAGCGTCGTAGTGAAACCCTGGAGCACTATTGGATGAAAACTAAAATATTTTAGGAATACTGATGATTCATTGGCTGAGTAGTGAGTACTAAAACTCCTGCACAATTTTAGCACTTGACTTATTAAAATATTTTAGTAGGGAAGTTGGGTGGCCGAATAGTTTAACCTGTGCACTTTAGATCGTCTGGTCTGTCAATGAGTCAAGTACACATATACATACCTCTCCAGAATAAAGACGGGCATACGTTATATAATGTGCTATGAGGAAAATTTTACCTGGACAGTGGCGCCACAACCTACTCTTTTACCGAATTCGAATTGCCAAGGGTTCTTTTACACGCTCTCCAAAGTGTACACGTGACCCTTTTTTTTTTATTCCCAAAGTGTACGCGTGACCCTTTTTTTTTATTCCACCCAAATGACTATACTTTGTCAGTTACCAGGCCCTCCATCTGCAGCATTGACGAGGGTGAACCAACACGGTGAACGAACACGAGCTCTCCCGGTTAGAGAGCTAACATCTTACTCATTGAGCAACGGCAGCTGCCTAATGTAGAAGGGCATACATCATACAGCGTGTTATTGTGGAATATCCTTATTTGGATTTCCAACTGTTGAAAGAATTCTTCATATCATAATCTGATGGAACAGTCATATTTTACAGAATATATGTCGATGTCACTCGACAGTTGGGACCTGAGAATTATTTTTTCTGTATGTAATTTTTTTAATTTTTTTTTTTTTAACTTCATCCATATAAGTCAGTGTGGAGTATTAGACGGAGGCCCAAAAATTATTTACTTGTACCCTGAAAATTACGGTAAATTTCTAGGAATGATTTATAAGGTTCAAATTTATTTTCAGAAAAAAATTAAAAGAAAGATTAAATATACCAACCAAAATATCTATAGGTTTCCAGGTAAGTGCAATATATTTACATCAAAATATCTATAGGTTCCAATGTAGGTAGAATATATTTACATCAAAATATCCATAGATTTTCAGGTAGGTAGAATATATTTATATCAAAATATAGGTTTCCGGGTAGGTAGGATATATTTACATCAAAATATAGGTTTCCAGGTAGGTAGAATACAAGAAAGTTATCCACAAAATAATGATGACACTTAACATCTCCGATTCAAATCTTCATGTTTTGGAAGTTTACCTGATAGACTGACCAGGGAAATGTGTTTAGTCATTTTGTCTGGATGGTTGGTGCAATATAACCCTTTTGAAGCTGATGTGCCATAAAATTTTATTTTAATTATTTTGCCTAGACGACTGCGCTAAGACCTACTCTTATTTTTAGGGGGGTTAGGCGGACTAGTGGTTTAACGTGTGCGCTTGAAACCATAAGGTCTGTCATTGAGTCAGCTGGCATGGTTTCGATACCCTGGTTGTATGGGACAAGGAGTATGGGTCGCCTGTCCAGCCTCGTGAGTTTTCACCGAGTCCGGTTTCCACCTACTGCTAAATAGACCTATGTATAAGCAAATTATTGAAATGAAATTGAACTATATGTTAGTTCCGAAATAACTTAGTTTGTGTCGAGTGGACGTTAAACCCCATTCTCTCTCTTATTTCCAAGTTGAACAATTTTACTCTTAAAGATAAATTATGTAAGATATAGAGGATATTTGTCCTTTTAGAGTGAATAACATATTTTATTTCATCGAGAAGCAAGAAAACTTATATTTTCACGAATGCGTAGCATGAGTGAAAATATAAATGTTTTCTTGCTTAGAGATGAAATAAAATATGTTATTCACGACAAAACGACAAATGTTCTATTTACTTTATGATTTTACAATCATTTTAGGTAAAAACAACATGGACTACTTTGCCAGTGGAATAACACTTTTATTTCACTGATAAAACGCGGTATTCCACTACTGATCATAAAATAAAATTGGTTAATTAATAATTTATACAACATTTAATTAAGGCTAAAGAAAGACCTGCACTAGGCAGATTTAGCTCTTGCATAACGTATGTTTGATAATTGAATAATTTTATATTTTTTTTTATTAAATTACAGGTTCACGATGATACAATCTCAAAATCAGGCTCTACAACAAAGAATCGTTATCAGGTCTAACAGAGAGGGCAGCACCAGTCTTTACCGTACTGGTGTCAAACATCTCGTGTGTGAATGATAAACTTTGAACTAACTGTTTTTTGTGTGGATGCCAGAAGGAAATGTTCAAATATGTTTTTTTCTCGAGATAGTTGACTTGTTGTTACCTCTTGTTACAAGCTTTTTGGTTGGACAAGCTCAGGGTTGGAGTGAACATTTTCATCAAATATTCTTTCGACATAAATTCCTTCATTGATATTGAAACAAGTTAGTAAGGTATTTGTAAATGGCCGCCGTCACTTCTGTAAAGAATTTGTAGTTGCAGATCATTGATTAAAATGTTAATCGGTTATGTAAAAACTAAGACGTGGGTCATTAAATACAAATTTTTTTAAACAATATTTTTTTTTTTTTTTAAATCTTATCATGAATTGACTTTCAAATTTGAGAAACTATATTAGGTTGAGTAAAAATAAAATGAAAGATTTATGACACCAGCAATGGATGATATTTCCTTTCTGTTGGTCATTCAGTTAACATCTGAAATACATATGTAAGAAAAGCGGATTTAGACCGCTGATGACAGAAAAATAATTTGTCATACCTTGTTTAGAGAAAAAAGCAAGCATCTGAAATTTTGAATTTTATGAATAACAGGTTTTAGACAATAGTACGTTGTCGACCTTCGTCTCATTTTTAATTTTGAGTGGTTTTCAGTTCAAGAAATTTTTGTTGAAAGAATGTTTGATTAAATGTTAGTCCTGCCTTGTGTTAATATATTTGTGTCTGGACGAATGTGTCTGAAGTTTCCTTCATCCAGTGCATTACAGTGACTTGATGCTAGATCTAAGAATAGCAATACTTAAATAATGATTGCTAATTATATTTATAAAAAATGATTTTAAAGGCAGAATACGTACCTGCATGATCCTGAAAGAAGCCTTATTGAGATATAGTAAAATATTGACGATCGAAAGTTGTACAGATTGTCTCAAGATACGAAACTTTCTGTAAATATCTACGCAGCCGTTATTAATGATTAAATGGTTGCCGTCGACTACCATGTACATTTGTATGATTGTAAAGTTTTTAGTGCTTAAATTATCGTAATTTGTACCTTTAATATTAAAAGAAATTTAACATTTGTTCATCTTCCCTCCGTTCACTGTATGTCGTTCACAATCCTTTTTGTTCCGCGAAGTGTTGATTTTATTGCATCTGGTGTGTTAATTCAAAATGAATATCTTTTGTTTCTTGAAATGCCAGAAAACTTTGCTGACTGAAATTATGACTCTCTCTCTCTCTCTTTCCCTCTATCTCTTTCTCTCTCTCAATAATAATAAGTATGGACTAAATTTAAAGTAGTTTAAGCCCCAAAGCTATTGGGGGAAGCATTTTTGCTGATCAAATTACTGTCTGATAAAAAAAAAACCAGTGGGTCACTTTGAGATGTAAAGATTGCAAGACAATAAGTGAATGTTTTCTGTATTTCACATTTTTAACGCACAAATTAGTGTTTTCTTACTATCACTTTAATATTTCAATTCCTGGTTTTACGTGACAAGGAGTAGAGTCACCTGTCTAACCCTGTGGGTTTTCTCTGTGTCCTCTGATTCCTGCTCACTGCTAAAGACCCCTACTCGCAAGCGAATTTTTGAAATAAAATTGAAACATATGTTAGTCCCATAATGACCTAGTTTGTGTTGAGTGGATGTTAAACCCAATGTCTCTTCGCTCTCTCTCTCTCTCTCTCTCTCTCTCTCATATGGATTATGTAAGAATTAGATAACATTTAAAGCCAGAAAAAAGACGTGCATAATGCATCTTTAATTTCTCGAAATAACACACCAGCTGAACCAAATTCATTTTATCCGGAATCGAGAGATTCTATTCCTTAATCGGTGACCATAAAACTCGGCTTTAGATTTGTCGCTAAAAGTTATTTCATACCCTACAAAAAATGTTGTCAAATTATATATTTTTATCCGATGAAGTTAGTTAGTTCCTAGACCCAAAGACCTGTTAAATTGTTGTTTGACTTGACGTTGATTTTGTGAAAATAATCGTTTTGTTTCTCCATGAATTAAAATTCATGTTTCAAGTTAAGTTTGGATTAGTTAAAAACTAAAAAAAAATCTAAAAAGTAATTGTAAGCCATATTGTTTATTTGTTTCGGAATGTTATATTTATTAGGATTATTTATGGTTGGTGTAAAATGGCTTCAATGTTGTTTAGTTACCTCCCCTGACTCTGGAAGCCACCATTTTGGCTCGGAGTAAAGCACTTTTACCCATGATCTTTTAGGGGCATTTAGTAACTGGATAGAGCAATAAACTATAACACATACTTATGGAAGAACAATGACTGATTTAATTAGGCAACACTTCGAGGAGTATTCTCTCACCGTTTTCAAGAAGTACAGTAACAAATGTGTAGGGCAATTATGTTGTTTGATCATGTTTTTTCATACCTTTGATCTTGTTGTTGTCATGCATGGTTTCTCATATGTAATTGCCCTAAACATTTCTTACTGATTTACCTGCTTGAAAACGTTGAGAGAATACTCTTCGAAACGTCGTCCAAATAAATCAGGAATTGTTCTTCCATAAGTATGTGTTATAGTTTGTTTTTACCCACTAACCAGGAGATCATGTGTTCTATCCCAGTGATGGTAGTCTGGATTTTCCAGATTTGTTTCCTTATCAGTATTGCATGGTTGAGTGGTCAAATGTGTGTTCTTAAAGCAGTGGAGGGGGGTTGGATGGCCGAATGGTTAGCACGTGCGTGCTGTATCATACAGTCCGTCATCGAGTCAACTGGCGAGGTTTCGATTCCCCAGTTGTACGTTACAAGGAGTAGGGTCGCCTGTCTAACCTCGTGGGTCCTCCTGTTTCCTTCCACTGCTAAAGACCCCTACGCGCAAGCGAATTATTAAAATAAAATTGAACCATGTCTTAATCCCGAAATGACCTAGTTTGTGTCGAGTGGACGTTAAACCCCATTTCTCTCTCGTTCTCTTAAAACAGTGGGCCGATCAGCAAGGAATAGCAGCAGAATGAGTGTCAATTCACCAGTCGATTGCATCACCTTTCACGTCACATGGCAGTGACTATGTCTTTAAACATTCACGTGACTTCTCGATATGAGTGTTGATTGGCTAATGAATTCTACAATCGGGTGAATGCTTCAGCGAAGCGGCCACACGCAGCTAGTGTGTCCTTCGCTTTAGAGTCTGTCAGTCATATGGTGTGCTTTTCAGTAAGGTCACTTTTTCGACCTTGTGTGCTTTCTCTGGGTCCACTGCTAAAAACACCTATGCACAAGTGCTTTACTGAAATGAAATTGATCTCAGTTTTAGTCCGGAAATGGCCATTATGTCGAGTGGACATTAAACCAGATTTCTCATTTTTTTCCTGTTATTGCGAGACGAAGGGCCTGACAGGAACATGTTTTGTTGTTGAACCAGGGTCTTAATCAGAGATCTAGTGTACAAAGTAGTAGCACCACTGCCTGGTCAAAGTTTTCCTCATAGCACACTGCATGGGCCTGACCGGAACATGTTTTGTTGTTGGACCAGTGTCTTAATCAGTGATCTAGTGTACAATGCAGTAGCGCCACTGCCTGGTCAACATTTTCCTCATAGCACACTGCACTGCTATGCCCTGCATGGCGTATGCCCTATCTTCATGACTCTTGGGGATTTGCCCAGTTAGTGCCGAATAGTAAGACATTAAGTAGCACTTCGTTATTTCATTTCCTAACTCTGGAATAATATTGATCCACAGTTTACAAGATGGCCGCGGAACTCAAAAAGCATTTTACACCAACTGAGTTTATTTATCACTTTCAGTAAATATTAAAATGTAATAAATTTGTCTGATTAAAATTAGACTGGTATTTCATTGTTTTTATTTTATTAACATTTACACAACATTATTAGAGTCTTAACAACATCCTTATAAAGTTTATCGTAGGTGAAGTGTCAAAAGGGTGTATCTAAGAATTTCTAAAGATTAAGAAATAGAACCTTTTGCATTTCAAAATTTCCACAGATCAAGATACAACATTTGGACACATGATACCCAGAACAGTTCTAATTGGCGTAGAGATACACAGCTTAGATAGAAATGTGCATATTAATTGGGAGATTTTAGAAATGCAAAAAAGTGTATTTGACTAATTTCCCGAGATACATCATTTGACACTTCACGGACGTTATGTTCAACTGAGCTGCACTGGTCAATGACCGTGACTGAAGTCAGACTTCTGAACTGAACAGATAAGTAATTGAAATCGAAACAAAATAACCATTAAATTATGATTGATTGTGAAAATTTAAAAGAGCATGGTTGTCTTGGTTAAAAATGACTGAAGCCAGTGACTGGCGAAAATTAGATTTCCCAACTGAACACATAACTGGAAAGAAATTAAGATAAATATCTAATTTGAAATATATGTATTGTAAAAATTTTAAATTACCATGGTAAATACATGTAGAGAATCTCCTACGAGTCTTTTTTTGATATCAAAAAATATCAACACAAGACACTCTGCCGATTTTTTTTTTACTTTATCGACGAGTGTTGATATTTTTTGATATCAAAAAGGACGAGTAGGAGATTTTATTTATCACCCAATCCTTTCTTACATGCACAAATAAATAAATTTAATTCTTTGCTATAGATTTCACTTTTATTGAATCTGATTACATTATGGCGTAGTGATACATAGATTTTTTTGACAGCAATTCAACTATATTGACCCAGTGTTTCCATCAAGGTCAATTAAATATAGTTCATTTTTAATAAAAAAAGAAATTACTTTTAATAAAACAAAATGAACTGTTCTTTGAAAATAAAAAAAGTAGTTCCTTTTCTACTGACCAATCAAATTCATGTAAAGCGATATCTCCTGAGGAGATATATGGCAGTAGATTATGAAATTTATCATACAAGTGATATCTACTGTAGAATGTAACATTGGGTGATAATCTTATTTAAAACACAAAGAAAGAAGTTCAAATGTATAACAATGTTATACTGGCATTTGTCCACAGTGTAAAACAGTTATATGGTGCCTACTACTGTATATCTATATATATATAGCTTAGTGAATTTATAGTAACAATCTGATTAAAACACAGATCCTATTTCGTTCAGTTTTTATAGTTCAAAATTTTGTTTTACTTGTCTTTACTACACTAGGATCTGGAAGAGTTGTTATATAACCTGTGTTCTGGATGATGTGAGGGATTAGCCAATGAAACGGTCTGTTACGGCAAGTTTTGGGCGCGAGGTGCACAGAACTTTGGGTAAACCACTAGAAACATCAACGCTGATAGATTAATCAATGTCTGACGTCATAAGGTCAAAAGCCGCTCATATGACCCCTGGTCAGATTTTCCTGTAGTGTAGGCCATCAAAAGTATATAAAAAAAAACCAGAAGAAATACTGGGGCCTGTTTCACAAAATCTTAACTAAGGATAAAATCCAAATTTTAGTAGATACTTCAATTTTGATTGGCTAAGGACTAAAATCAATCTAATATTATCCAATCAAATGATTAAAATTTGGATTTTATCTTAGTTAAAATTTCGTGAAACAGGCCCCAGATCTATATTTTAATCAGATTGGTTAATGGTATAACAGTTTTCATGTTGAAAGTCTTGTTATCTTTTTAAAAAACTAAAAATTCTATGCTTGTCAATTGATTTTCTGATGTAAATATGTACAAATTATTAAATGAAAGCTTTTTTTGTATTAAACTGGGATCTGTTCATTCTAAATAATGAAACTGTTTTATTCATACATTAAGTCCTTGACACAATCATAAACGAGACATTTAATTACGAGAAGTTGGCCGGGGAGAAGGTGATTAGTACTGGGGATTGATTTGACTGTAACCCAGGTATCATTTAATCTTGTGTATCTAGCACTAATTTCTTTCACATTCGTTTAATATCAAATCTTTGTTTAAAAATTTGTAAAAATCGTTTAAAATCACTAAAAATCATCTAATTTGTACTTGTATCCAGTTTAAAGCTGACTGATTAATTTTGATAATGAGTGTCCAATTTACAAGTATTTAATTTCCTGACCACTGTTCAAAAATTAATCATTATGCATTATTAATCAATTGGGTTGTTTATTTTTTAAAAGTGATTGAGAAATTAAACACTTGTAAATTGGACACTCATTATCAAAATTGAATGGTCAGATTTAAACTGGACAGAAGTACAAATTAAACGATTTATGGTGATTTTATACAGTTTTTACAAATTTTTAAACAAAGATTGGATATTAAACGAATGTGAAAGAAATTAGAGCTAGGTACACAAGATTAAATGTTACCTGGGTTACAGTGTTTAAAACATAAGATTTATCGGGTGGTTATTCATAGATTAAATCCTTGACAATATTATAAATGAGACATTTATTTACAAGAAGTTGTGGAACAGGCGAGTGATAAATTAATTGGTATTGGGGATAGGTTTAAAAACTTAAAGATACTTTCCCACAAAAGTATTTATCGGGTGGTTATTTCAAATAAAAGTATAGCAATTTTGGTATAAATAGAAAGTAGAAACATCCAATCTTATTAGAAAAATATTGGATTCCCTGAAGAACACTCATGGAGTGCATACAGGGGGCAACCCGACGATTAGGGATGTCTGCTTGAGTGGCGTCAAGGGTTGCATGTGAAGATTGTCTGATCTCTCATCATTAGTGAGTGCTTGATGTATATGTTGATAAACTTGATGGTGAGCTTAAGCGTACAACAGTTTCTGAGATAAAAAACACATAAAAAATGGGTGCAGTGGATAATACGAGAATTTAATTAAGCTTCGATAATTATGATAAATTTACAGCGATTAAAGACAACATCGTCTTGTATATGCAATGAATTCTCCTCCGGCTTCGCACCCGTTGCTAAGTACCACGGCAGCCAGGCCACATGACAGAAACATTACCCTTTTAATAGATTTTTTATAGCAGGGGTATTCCCTGGCGAAAACAATATTTTGAGAAGGATTTGAAGCAAAATTTTGATAAATTAGTTAGTTTGATGTTTTTAGTCCAAATATATCATCAAATCATCCAGTTTGTACGCGGGAAGGTATCTTTAAAAGCAAACCTGTTTTTCTGACAGATAGAAAGTGTGTCGGACTGAATTTAGAATAGACATTTGCATCTTTCAGACAATATCTGATTGCGCCAGGGGGGTTGGATGGCCGAATGGTTAGCACGTGCTGTTGTGCACGCTCTATCATAAGGTCTGTCATTGAGTCAACTAGCGTGGTTTTGATTTCCCAGTTGTACGTGACAAGGAGTGGGGTCAGCTCTCCAACCTCATGGGTTTTCTCTGGGTCCTCCGGTTTCCTCCCACTGCCAAAGATCCCTACGCGCACGCGAATTATTAAAATAAAATTAAAATCATGTTAGTCCCGAAATGACCTAGTCTGTGTCGAGTGGACATTAAACCCCATTTCTCTCTCTCTGTGTCTCTCTCTTAATGTCTAATAAGGCAAGCAAATCAAAATATCAGGGGCAGATAATTTCCTGCTTTTGATTCAATTGGATTAAAGAGAGGCCCATCAAAAGATTTCCTATAGGCCTACATATCTATGCAGTTAATGTCAAACATTGACAAATTTTCAATTCATCATATCGGTGTAAATCCTAACCAGAATTAAACCATTTTGAACACAAGCTTATACTTGACCAGGAGTAGGTTCGCATCTCCAGGTCCTCTTCCGCCCCCCCACTCCCCCTACCAGTGTTAGTTCCGAAAGAACATTGGTTGGGTCAAATAGACACAAAACCCCATTTCTCTGTATTTCTATAATATCAGACTCTTGGTTATTGTAATAATAAAATTGGACACGGTAACAGGGTCCCACAGAAAGGTTATGTCATGTGGGAACTAGGCCCCCAGGTAATGGCAATTCGCTATTTAATGTCGTCACCAGCTTATGTTGAACCGTCTACCATACCCCATGTAATGAAATTGTTAAATAAGTGTATGATAATTTCAGTATCAAACTCCTTTTAGTTTGCATCAAATTCATAACATATTAATATCTGGTTATGCCATAGAAAGAAATTTGAAACATTAAATGTTTGTCAATCTGATTAAAATACAGATCTATATTTCGTTCCGTTTTTTTATACTTTCAATGGCTTCTGCTACATGAAGATCTGACCGGTTATAGCGATAGGTCACGTCAGGGGTCAAAAGATCGACTTATGACCCTATGATGTCAGACATTTGATTAACCAATCAGCATTGATGTTACTAGTGGATTACCCACAGTTCTGTGCAAAACACACCTAAAGCTTGCCGTAACAGACCGTTTCATTGGCTTATCCCTCACATCAAGTAGAGCGTAGTAAAGACAAGAAAAACAAAATTTTGAACTGGAAAAACGAAACGAAATAGGATCTGTGTTTTAATCAGATTGAATGTTTGTAAGAAATAAACAGTTATTGCTCTGATCATCCTAACTTTTTGTCCTTATTATTTCATATGTTGAACCGGCAAACATGTAATGAAATAGTTAAATGAGTGTACGATAATATCAGTTTCAAACTCCTTCAGGTTGCATCAAATTCATAACATGTTAAAGCCATGATGCACCATTTTAAGTTTTTAACCAATAGGAATCACTTGCAAACTAAAATATTATAAGGGGTGTTGGATTGCCGAATGGTAAGGTTTGTCATTGAGTCAACTGGCGTTGTTTCAATTCCCCGGTTGTACATGACAAGGAGTAGGGTTGCCTGACTAACCTCATGGGTTTTCTCCGGGTTGTCCGGTTTCCTCCCGCTGCTAAAGACCCCTACGCGCAAACGAATTATTGAAATAAAATTGGACCATTTGTTAGTCCCGAAATGACCTAGTTTGTGTTGAGTGGAGGTTAAAAAAAAATGCACTTTACTCGTCGTTTTATAGATATTATTTATTTTAATAATTATTTCAATGTTTTTGATAATATTCGTATCTTTACAGAATTTATATTTATTTATGATACAATTAATTAAATCAGCTGTACATAAATTTAATTAAGGTAGGCCAATATATTCCCAATGCATGTGGGGCCCTTTATTTTCGGGAGGGCCTTTAAATAATAACAGAATATCACACTTCTTAATTGTTTTGATTATTGTTTGAAAATGGTGGGCAAATTCCTCAAGATTTTCTAGACTGGTTTTCCCTTTCCAGTGGACAACACCAAATATTATCAAAGCTTATTAATTGGTCTTGGACATGTGATGCACAATTGCGGTTTCCCTTCGAGTAATTTAGGACCGCGTAAGCCAAGGAAATGTATCTTTAAACTCCCTTGATTCTAAACATGATAGCAGTTATCAAGATAAAATTATATTAGATAGGGGGGTTGGATGGCTGAATGGTTAGCGTGTGCGCACTGTATCATAAGGTCTGGTATTGAGTCAACTGGTGTGGTTTCGATACCTCGGTTGTACGTGACAAGGAGTAGGGTCACCTGTCCAACCTCATGGGTTTTCTCCAGGACCTCCGGTTTCCTCCCACTGCTAAAGACCTCTACGCGCAAGCGAATTAGTAAAATAAAATTGAACCATGTGTTAGTCCCAAAATGACTTAGTTTGTGTCACGTGGACGTTAAACACCATCTCTCTCTCTCTCTCTCCTTTCCAGTGATCTGTCTTGTCATTCAGATGGGACAAAAAAAAGAGTAATCGTTGACGTTCCTTGTATATCATTGGCAGTATATAAAGGAGTCTTTGGTAGTTGGAATTTGATGAAGTGTAGGTGGAAACATGCTGTCTGGGCATAATTACCTCATAGCACATAGCATGGTGTATCCCCATCTTTATTAGCTCGGTTGACTTTTTATATAGTTAGGATGTTAAACCCCATTTCATTTCACGTCCATGGCTGAAACATCATCGATCCATTGATTCATTGATGGAAAATCACCCACAAATAATCCCCCTTGTCTTTATGTACATTTATAAACCCCCCAAATTAACCATATAACGATATATTTATCCGCATCATATCATATTTTGTTTAATATTATTCTGTTAAAACAATAATAATTATATATGTATTGTATTTTGTATAATGACTAAACTTCTTTGATTTGACCCGTCAGTGGTGCAGGAACAGTGTCTAGTTGTTTGAATGGGATACACATTAAATGGCAGTGCACTTTTTACAAAAAGAATTGGAAATGAAATGAAATGAAATGGGGTTTAACGTCCTACTGTTCTGCTCCTATGCTGGGCTAATGAAGACGGGCATACGCCATACAGTGTGCTATTAGGGAAATTTTGCCCGGACAGTGGCACTACGGCTTACTCTTATATCGAATTTACTTGCACGCCAATGTGTACACGGGACCTTGGTTTTTCATCACATCTTAAGGCCTATACAGCTGTCCTTGTCAGACTCTCCGTCCTGCATTAAATTGGAAAATAAGAGTAGGCCTAAGCAAAATTTCCCTCATAGCACACTGTATGGCGTATGCTTGTCTTCATTAGCCCAGTCGGAGCAGAAAGTAGGACGTTAAACCCCATTTCATTTAATTTCATTTATTTCATTTGGCAAAAAAGTAGGTCTAGATTTTAAATTTTAGGTTCTCAGAGCTTTTATTGAGATGGTCAGAAATTTTTAAGGAAACAAAAATTAGTCAAAATAACAAATTTCCTACTTAATATTTGAAGACAAAAAATTTAATCGTGTAGATTTTGTCCCATCACTAATCAAAATAACATATTTATTTTCACATAAATCAAATTAGTTTAGTTTATTCAAGTCATTATAATCATTGAAAGATATTTATAAATGACATGTGTGACTTAACATCATCACTGTAAAAACTTGTTTTATTTTATAACAAAATGTTATATTTTCTTTGATTGGCATTTAGTAATTGAACATATTAACTCAAGGTACAATTTTATGGATACACAATTACTGAGTTTAAAGTAGCTAAGTCTCTAACTCAATATCATGCAAAATCTTCAACATTGAAAACACAAATTATTTCTGATATCCAATATTTAAGACAAAATAAACATTTTACCATTGGTACACGAATCGTGTACCATAATACATTTCAGCCCCAGTTCTAGCAAGAGACTCGAGAAACGAGGCTAGACATATTGCACCAAACCAAACGGCGTATGTAGACTGGAATAACCAGGCGCTAGAAATTTGCATTCGATTGAGACTGCTGGCTTATTTCGTGGAACATAACTGATTTGAAATTAGAGTAAAAACGAAAACCATTGAATGTACATCAGTTTATATATATTCAAATTACAGTATTATATGAGTTGCGACCCACTTGTGTCAATTTCTAGGTCCCAAATGTTAGCGATTTAGCTCCTTTAATACTAAGCGATGTTTCGAGGAGGATACAGCATTTGCTTGATAAAGATGAGAGTATCCTCGTCGAAACGTCGCTTAGTATTAAACTCAGTAATTGTGTATCCATAAAATTGTACCTTGTGTTAAATGTTATATTGGTACATGTTTACACAAAAAAATCAACCAAGCAAATCTTGTATAATGTTATATTGGTGCATGTATGTGTGAATTATCATCATCACTTGAAATACTTGTACTTGTTATTTAATGTTATATTGGTGCAACCAAGCAAATCTTGTATAAATTCATAATGTTACATTCTAAAAATTCTTTTTGTATTATTTTGTAAAACTCACTCAAACCTGGTTGAATCTTGTGAAATATAAATAGTGCTAGTTTGTTGGGTTTTTTTTATCCAAATGTTATGACAAATAAAAGTGTACCGGTAACCATAATTTTACATACCCCGGTATATTTTCAATAAGGATTGTTAATAATGATGATTGAGTACGGTACTGTAGTGTAATATATTAAAACACAGATCCTATTTCGTTTCATTTTTTTATAGTTCAAAATTTTGTTTACTTGTTATTACTACACCAGGATCTGGAAGAGTTGTTATATAACTCGCGTTCTGGATGAAATGAGGGATTAGTCAATGAAACGGTCTGTTACGGGGAGTTTTTGGGGTGAGGTGCACGGAACTGTGAGTAAACCACTAGAAACATCAACGCTGATTGGTTAATCAAATGTCTGACATCATAGGGTCAAAATCTGCTGATGCGACCTCTCACTACAACTGGTCAGATTTTCATGTAGTATAGGCTGTCGAAAGTATAAAAAAAGAAACGAAATATAGATCTGTATTTTATTTAATGAGGTTGTGTTGTGTAATATATTAAATGTGTACTTTCTGTTTGCTTCTGTAATTAAAGGCTGTCAGTGGTTTAATTAAAATTTGTTTTGACTTTGGTGTAATTGTGGGTCCGAGGAGACTAAAAGGGTATTGTCCATTTCCATGCTTATTGGTGAGATCAGTCGCAAGGAGTAGGGTCGCCTCTCCGACCTCATGGATTTTCTCTGGGTCCTCCGTTTTCCCTCCACTGCTAAAGACCCCTATGTGCAAGCGAATTATTGAAATAAACTTGAAGCATATGTTAGTACCGAAATGACCTAGTTTGTGTCAAGTGGATGTTAAACCCCATTTCACTCTCTCTCATTTCCTATTGGGAAATTTCTTTCATCATGAATTCTGGTTTAAGCCTACCTTAACCAATATGGTGTCTAACTCAGGTGTGGTGAATTCTAATCTACGCTGCCAGCTAGAAAATGGACTTCCCCTACTAAAAGATGGTCCAGTCAAAAGGGTAATTGTTGATCCGAAGAAAAACAAATGGACAGAATGCAGTGTATATATCATGTCAATCCACTGATGAAGTCATGGCATTCGATCTTTTGTGTATGTCCGAAAACAAGTCACCTAAGTCTGAACTTTTGTTAAGTCAGACGGTCCAATCTGCATGTCATTTAAAGGGACAATAACACTCTTGCTGGCTTGACAGCTCCAGAAAATAAAAAAAATAGCCTTATTCAAAGTACTAGATGTGTTAGTGTCTTACATGTTGTGTAAATTATCCATTAAATCCTATTTTACTTGTCCAGAGGGTTCAAAAATATTTTTAAATCCAAGTCACATTTGAATAGCTTTACGTCAGGCTTTTCAAATCATTTAGTTGAATTTTTCCAATTTTTTAAATTAGGTGTGTTAAGATAAAATTTGTATCATCAATTAATTGGAATATTGTAAAATAGTACAATTTGTTGACCAGAATAATAAAGATTGGGACATATTATTCAGTTGCAACAAGAGTGATATTGAGCCTTTAATTGTGTAGATTCTGAAACGTGGTGATAACTGTCCACTACTACACTTCAGAATTTAAAAAGCCTTTTTTGGTCCCCGAAAATATGGGGGTCGGGTGGGCTGCAACCCCCCACCCCCTTGCAATCCTATCCGTTTAAAAAAAAAAAAACCCAAAAAAACGAGAATATAAGGCAGGCATAAAGGTTAAATCAGAAAGGAGGTGGTCTTTACTCTTTTAGATTTCGTTAACAGGTCGATTTACGGATGATGGTCATATAGAATCAGACAACCTTTAGTTCATTGGGCAAATTCAAGAAATTAAAACGCGGGTAAAGGGAGATAATTCCATTTAAGGTGTCGTTATTTTGACAGAAAAAAATAATAATGAAATCAATTTCCAGTGATCAATTTCTACATTTAAATAATTATTTCGGAATCATCTTTATTAACGTGCGAAATATACCACCAAGGCGAAAACAAAACTCAAAATCGCCCAGAAAATACGACTTTTATTTTACGACAATCGCAAAAGATATCGTAATTTTGGACTCTTTTAACCTCTACACAAAAGAGTGAAGAAAAACAAAATAAGCAAGTGTCGTGATAAAAAGCAAGGTAAAGTATCAATAAAACATGGGGTCTTTAAAAGAAATATGGTGTATTCTGATTGCTATGTGGAGAAGAGTCGTGCAGTGTGGGTTTTAAGTGTCGATCATATGATGGGTAGTTCGTAATCTTAATGATGATCTAGACCGATGGCGATATTGAATAATTTTTACTCGAGATCAGATGTCAAAACATTCCGATATTTCAATAGATCTTCAGAATATTTTTACAAATTATTGTTGTGTATTAGCTATTGTATTTCAGTTAAATATAATATGTAACAGTCATTGCCTGAGTAGAGCGAAGCTGATGTGATTGTTGTCAAATATAAAACCTTCATAATTAAGTTTTCCAAAAATGATACGAAAAATGTTAAATAATTTCGTTTCTCCAAAATTGATTTAATTTAAATCTAAATGGTTATGATTAATCCTGTTCAAATAAAAAATAAAAAAAAGCCCAAAAAGTGGGAGAATTATTTTCATTGACATCAAAAATATGTTATGTCACTTATTAGACTCGTCTAGAAATAATTCTGAGATGCGTAATTTTCATATGTATAAGGACAGACAGTAACAATGAGAGTCTAGCCTCTATCAGACATTGTTACTAATTATAAAGTAACGATACTGTACATGTATCTAGCAAAATATTTTCTCAAAATGCCAACATAGTCACATCCTTGCTGGACAAAATGGACATTTCTATCACTTATCACATATTATCATTGGGTGTACCGCCAACTGGGGCTACTTTGAGCAGTGGGGAAACTTTGAATATTTTTCAATATATTGTTTGAGCATTGTATATTTTCTATATATTTGTTCATATCATATAAATAATGCTTACTTTAAGACTTTACATCCCTTTCAGAGATCGTTGTTGTGAAATAATAAAATGGTGTTAATCCATTGATTAAAAAAAGAAGAAATGCATACTAAGTAAACAAATAACTCAAGATGAAGAGACGTACTTTGTCCTCGGATGGAAATGCCCCAACAACATCACGTAAAATTCCCCGTCTTGAAACCTCCAGCTCAGCATCCAGGGATCAAAGTGCTTCCTCTTCTTCATCAAATGAGAGCAACAAACAGAGCTTACATGATTTAAAGAAATTATCAGGAGGATTAAAAAAGGCTGGACCATATTTATTAGGTAGGTGAACTTCTGTACACTGTATATTATACACCAATCTGATTAAAATATACATCTATTTTTTGGGGGGGGGGGGGTGGATGGCCGAATGGTTAGCACACGCTGTATCATACGGTCTGTCATTGAGTCAACTGGCGGGGTTTCGATTCCCCGGTTGTACGTGACAAGGAGTAGGGTCGCCTGTCCAACCTCGTGGGTTTTTTCCGGGTCCTCCGGTTTCCTCCCACTGCTAAAGACCCCTATGTGCAAGCGAATTATTGAAATAAAAAAATTAAACCATATGTTAGTCCCGAAATGACCTAGTTTGTGTCGAGTGGACGTTAAACCCCATTTCTCTCTCTCTCTCTATTTTTTGTTTCATTTTTTTTTTATGCTTTCGATGGCCTACACTACATGAAGATCTGACCGGTTGTAGTAGAAGGTCGGATCAGGGGTCGTACGAGCGGCTTTTGACCCTATGACGTCAGACATTGATTAATCAATCAGCGTTGACGTTTCTAGTGGTTTACCCACAGTTCTGTGCATCACACTCCAAGAACCCGCCTTAACAGACCGTTTCGTTGGCTAATCCCTCACATCATCCAGTATGCGGGTTATATAACAACTCTTCCAGATCCGAGTGTAGTAAAGGCGAGTAAAACAAAAAAAAAATGAAACGAAATAGGATCTGTGTTTTAATCAGATTATATATATATATATATACAAGCCTTGAAACAAGGTACTTAACACAAATTATGACTTTGTCAGGTGTGACTGAATGGTTTAAGGTAAATATACAGTGTATATATATGTAATTATTATAGTAAATGTAATTAAGGGTATGTTAGTCTCGCAAAGACCAAAGTGTTTAATTGTCCTAGTGGTTTGGATTGCCATATAGTTTAACCCATTAAGCTTGACGTTTTTAAAACGTTAACTACCCCCTATTGTGTATTGTGTAATTAATTTGACGAAGAACTATTTACTATAAAATAAAACCAAGTACGAACAATCCAAACCATTAGACAAAATTCGAAGTCCTAAAAAAAAACGGTATAGTGTAATAAGGCAAAATAGTGTAATCAGCATATGGACTGTTCACCGTGTACAAAATACACGACAAACAGTGGTAACAGGTGTCCGGAAAGGTAAGCTTACCCTGCCTGGCGCCACAGCCACCATAGCTGCATCCAAACTATTAGGCGAAATCTCGGTAAAATAGCGTGATTGGCCAATGAACTATCGGTATGCAAAATGCACGTGATGAACAGTGTTAACGATGTAGTAGACAGACATTATCAGGGAGATAGTATACGCGTCAATTAAATGTATCTAGAATAATAGCCGAGAGAGACATATTATATTTACCAATCAAGTCAATATGACGGCCATAAGACTTTTAAAATGTTTTAATAAGTTTAGTTCGCAAGTATCCCTGTAGTTGAAGCTTAGATGACAAATGCCTCGATCTACTTAAAAAATCAGAATAAAATGAACAAGCTCTCGCGTAACGAATTAGTTGAGACATGTTCTAAGAATAGGTTGGGGAAAATACCTCCAAGGCATTATATTACGCCCCCTACACAAGGTGAGTGGCAGTTGTCCAGGACATAATATAACGTCCTACACATGCTGCGATCGTGGGGGAATTCCCAAGGGATTCCCGCAAGTGACGGGTTAATGAGTGTGCTTTAGATCATAAGATCTAAAGTCGAGTGGCATGGTTTCGATTCCCCGCTTGTATGTGACAAGGAGTGGGTTGCCAGTCCAACCTTGTGTAGCTAATAACCCCCACGCATAAGAAACTTATTGAAATAAAATTGAACCATGTGTTTGTCCCTAAATTACCTAGTTTGTGTCAAGTGGACGTTATACCCCATTTTTCTCTCGCTCTCTCTCTCTCTCTCTCTCTCTCCAAACTTGTCAACCTGTCAAAATAAAAATAAGACTGTAGTTTTAATGTATTTATGTTTTTATAGGTCCTAGATTAGGCTCATCACCAGTAAGGAGTATAGTTCAATGTCTAGCACGAAGAGAAGGAAGAGATGAATTCTTTACAATAAAAGTGAGTTACTCATGTTCATATTAAATAACTATAGAGCAAGATTCATTTCCACCATTAAAATAATGTGACAAAGGAACAATCAAATTTGGTGTGCGCATTGTATCATAAGGTCTGTCATTGGGTTAACTGGTGTGGTTTCGATTCCCTGGTTGTATGTGACAAGGTCCAACCTCGCGTGTTTTCTCCAGGTCCTCTGGTTTCCTCCCACTGCTAAAGACCCCTACCACAAGTGATTGATTGTAATAAAATTGAACCACATGTTAGTCCCGAGTTTACATTAAACCCTCCCCCTCTGTTTTGTAGATTTTGACAATGGAGAAACCTGAGAAAGAAAGTCAAGATGATCGTCAGGGAAAGATGTTGATGCACACAGAATATTCTCTACTTTCACTTTTACATTCCCAACCTGGTGTTGTTCATCATCATGGTTTATTTAAGGTAACACAGAATATTCTCTACTTTCACTTTATTTAAGGTAGTACAATATGTATGGTAAATGGACAGTAAGTAATGACAAATACATTATGAAAAATCGACCCTCCCACAATGAAGTATAGGAATCCCTCGGCGAATACAAATTTTTGAAGTAAATTTTTGATAGATTAATTAGTTTGAATATGTTTTTAGTCCAAATATATCATCAAATCACACAGTATGTACGTGGGACAGTATCTTTAAGAAGACAAACTCAAAATCAATTTTTTTTGAATCAATGTTTTCTACTTCTCTCATATTTTGATTTATTTTTAGGATGAAGCCTTAGAAGAAAAAGAGGTTGCAGACAATAGCCGACAGACAGCACCTACTGGGCGTATTCGTAGTCGATTATGTCTAGTATTAGACTGTTTAATTCCACATGATTTTTCTTCTAAAACTAACGAGCTAGTAAACTTACAACATTATGTTATAAAAGAAAAGAAATTAACAGAAAAAGATGCCATTTTAATATTTACAGATATTGTTCAAGTTGTTAATAGCTTACATCAGGTATATTACTTATTTTATTCTTCTCATAACTAGAGATATGGACAGGTGTTATCAATGTAACCCAGGTATCATTTAATCTTGTGTATCTAGCTCATTGTCAAAATTGAATGGTCAGCTTTAAACTGGACAGAAGTACAAATTAAACGATTTATGGTGATTTTAAACAGTTTTTAAGAATTTTCAAACAAAGATTGGATATTAAACGAATGTGAAAGAAATTGGTGCTAGATACACAAGATTAAATGATACTTGGATTACAATGTATACACAAGGCAGTATATGTTTAGAAATGTGCCAATTTGATATACCCTGAAAGTTTCAAGCTGAAACTCTTCAAATTCAAGCAAGGAGGTGGAACTAAACTATAATAATTTGATATGCAAGTTGACTGAGACTAACTCTAGTGATCAGATCAAATGCAGATTTTACTATTTCCCCAATTCGATGGTGGTTTCCTCTTGTCAATGATGCAGGATGGAGGGCATGACAAGGACAGCTGTCTAGTCATTCGGATGGTACAAAAAACCAAGGTCCCATGTACACATTGGCGTGCACATAAAAGATCCCTTGGCAGTTGGAATTCAATATAAGAGTAGGCCGTAGCGCCGCTGTCCGGGCAAAATTTCCCTCATAGCACACTGTATGGCATATGCCAGTCTTCATTAGCCCAGTTTAGGAGCAGAACAGTAGGACGTTAAACCCCATTTCATTTCATTTCCAATTCGATGGCCTAAACTGTCAGGGGGGGTGGATGGCTGAATGGTTATTGCGAGTGCTGTATCATAAGGACTTTCATTGAGTCAACTGGCGTGGTCTAGATTCCCCGAGTGTACTTGACAAGGAGTAGGGTCGCCTGTTCAACCTTGTGGGGTTTTTTCTGGGTCCTCCGGTTTCCGCCCATTGCTAAAGACCCCTATGCGCAAGCCAATTATAGAAATAAAATTGAACCATATGTTAGTCCCGAAATGACCTAGTTTGTGTCAAGTGGACGTTAAACCCCATTTCTCTCTCTCTCTCTCTCTCTCTCTCCTAAACAGTCACTGGGTCATGCTAGTTAATTTAAGGAGAGCAGGGACGAAGCATGATGGGCGAACATATACATACTCATTATTAATAAATAACACAAATGTTGATATGAAATGCAAAATGACATTATGAAAACATCATATGAGAATGCAAACTTAAATTACAAATTTAAATTATAATTTTACAAATTATTGCCAGGATCTCATGTTTTCTGAGTGAGTTTGGCTGAATGAAAATAATAAGGATATTGTTTTTCAGTTTGGGAGGACCTGACAAGGACAGCTGTCTAGTCGTTCAGATGGGACGAAAAACCGAGATCCCGTATATACATTGGCATGCACGTTGAAGATTTCTTATTCGATATAAGTGTAGGCCATAGTACCACTGTCTGTGCAAATTTTATAGCACACTGTATGGCATATGCCCGTCTTCATTATCCCAGTCGACACAGAACATTAGGATGTTTAACCCCATTTCATTTCAGTTGTTTTTTAATTTCAGAAGAATATTGTCCATCGTGATTTAAAACTGGGTAATATGGTATTAAACAAGGAGACGCGAAGAATTACAATAACTAATTTCTGTCTGGGAAAACATCTTGTATCAGAAAATGATTTATTAAAAGATCAGCGAGGAAGTCCAGCGTACATCAGTCCTGATGTTCTTAGTGGTACGTTATAAAACCATGGAACTTTTATTAGTTATTAGTCGAGGGGGGGTGGATGGCTGAATCGTTAGCATGTGAGTGCTGTATCATAAGGTCTGTCATTGAGTTAACTGCCGTGGTTTCAATCCCACTGCTAAAGACCCCTACACGCAAGCGAATTATTGAAATAAAATTGAACCATATTGCTAGTCCCGAAATGACCTAGTTTGTGTGGATTGGATGTTAAACCTCTCTCTCTCTCTCTCTCTCTCTCTCTCTCTCTTTTTTATGGGTCATGATGAGTGCTGCGTGGCTGCAGTCACGATACAATACAATACGTTTTGCGATTCGGGATCCATGATACGATTCAGATCGCGATTTATAACCAGGTCAGTATTTACCAACACAACAGCAGGATAAATGAATAATTGATATTTTTATGGCGGGAAATTTTAGTCCTGCTAAAGTCAAAGAAATAAAATTGTTTTATATCACGATATTCATATGAATCAAAACAATTTAAGGATGATTAATGATTATTAAGGAAATCGTAAAAAATCATATTTTACAGATTATCTATTTTGTTAACCATTATAGCGCCAACTGTCATCTCTTTATCAAATCTTACCTAATACCCTTTTAATGAATTTTTTTCAGGTAAACCTTATTTGGGTAAACCAAGTGATATGTGGGCTCTTGGTGTCGTTCTGTTCACCATGATCTATGGGCAGTTTCCATTTTATGACAGTGTACCACAAGAACTCTTCCGTAAAATCAAATCTGCTGAATTCACCATTCCAAAGTAAGAAATTGAATTTCATAGACTTGAAAATATTAGCATTTTTCAGTCAAGATCTCATTTTTCATGGTTTAATTATCCACATGAACACAAATTGATTATTTAACATTTAATTAATAAAACCTAAAATAGTTCATCATGATTTTCCGGCGTGGTTTCCCAATGTCAATGGTGCAGGATGGAGGGCCAGACAAGGACAGCTGTCTCATTGTTTGATGGGGTCGAAAGATCCCTTGGCAGCTGGAAATCGATATAAGAGTAGGCCGCAGCGCCACTGTCCAGGCAAAATTTCCCTCATAGCACACTGTATGGTGTATGCTCGTCTTCGTTAGCCCAATTGAAGTAGAACATTAGGACGTTAAACCCCATTTCATTTCATTTTAGAGATTCAATTTTGACAATATTGTAGTTTGCAAGGGATTCAAATTCTATTAAATTCTGCATACTTTGAGAATAGATCTCTGCCCGAAGTGGCTGCCAAATCCCGGTCATTGTGTCGAGTGGATGTTAAACCCCATTTCATTTCATTTGTATTACAGTGATGGTCGTGTATCGGAGAATACAATATCAGTTGTCCGTAAATTATTGGTACTGGATCCACAGACACGGATGACAGCAAGTGAAGTTTTAGATGCCATGGGAAGTGTTCTTGCTACATGGTATGATTTTATCTTTAATTTGTTAACATTACCTAGTCCCGAAATGACCTAATCTGTGTCGAGTGGACATTAAACCCCATTTCTCTCTCTCTCTGTTTACATTTAATCTTCATAATACAGGTGCATAAACACCTTGATTGGATTCATTGGATTCAGTCGGCCCATAAAAAAGATTTTATCCAACAATGTTTATATTGTCTGCAGAAGATCCCAAAGTTGCAAATTATTCAATTCATCATAATTATTTTTGTTGAAGATGCATTATGTAAGAGCTAAATCTGCCTGTTGCAGGTCTTTATTTTTGCTTCAAATGTTATATAAATTATTAATTAGACATATATGCACATGACAGTCCTATAATCAAATCTCTATACGATCGGATGGCCGAGATTTAAATGGATTAGAACACCCACAAGATTTTAAAATTTAATGATAAAATGGATAATCGAGACTTAGTCTCGTTTGTCAAGTACTATTGCTACGAGAATAAACAATTTGAGTTTCATATTCAAACACTCATGGGGGGGGGGGGATGTCCGAATGGTTAGCATGTGCGCGCTGTATCATGAGGCCTGTCATTGAGTTAACTGGCGTGGTTTCAAATCTCCGGTTGTATGTGACAAGGAGTAGGGTTGTCTGCCCAACCTCGTGGGTTTTCTCTGGGTCTTCCGGTTTCCTCCCACTGCTAAAGACCCCCCTACGCGCAAGCGAATTATTGAAATAAAATTGAACCATATGTTAGTCCCAAAATGACCTAGTTTGTGTCGAGTGGATGTTAAACCCCATTTCTCTCTCTCTCTCAAACACTCATAACTTTACTCAGAATAAAGTAATTTGAATAAATGTCTATTTAATAATTTATATAAAACATTTGGGGCCAAAATGATCTGCAATAAGCAGATTTAGCTCCTACATAATGCATCTTTAATATGAAGCTGTTACATAATGCATCTTTAATATAATTAAACAAACAAGTCTCTCTTTTATTTGTAGGAGAGTGATGTCTTGCCCGAATAATTTACAAGTCGTACCAGATGTTGATAATGACAGGAAAGAAAAAATTAAAAATCAGAACAAAACAAGTGACCTGGAAAAAAAATTACAAGAACTTCTCTCCGATGCTGACACAGAAACAAAAATAGTTCCTAAAGGACCAATACAACGAAGGAGAACAAACATGCATCCTCCAATCAAAAGGCTTCTTACAGATGCCCGACCCCTGACCACGGAAGAGCGAGAAGCCCATCGTCATATTCTTCCACCTGATTGAGGATGATAAAACAAATTCGGAAACTTGGATAAAATCATGTTCATGTCCATTCTAACTAATCGTATTGTCATTTAGAAATCAGTTTTAAGTGTTACTAGTATTATGGATTGATACACCTTAATTGATCGTTTGCATTTTATGTCGATAGGTGGGTGTTGGATGGCCAAATGGTTAGAGCATGCGCGTTGACGTTGTATCATAAGATCTGTCATTAAGTCAACTACCATGGTTTCGATTCCCTGGTTGTACGTGACAAGAAGTCGGATCGCCTTTACAACTTCGTGGGTTTTCTCTGGGTCCTCCGATTTCCTCCCAGTGCTAAAGACCCCTACGCACAAGCAAAATATATTGATATAAAATTAAACCATGTTAGGCCCGAAATTACCTAGCTTGTGTCGAGTGGACGGTTAACCCAATTTCTCTCTCTTAGATAATGATAAGAGGATACCTGTCGAAACATCATGCTTATAGAATAAAGCCTGTGATTGTTTTCCATAAAAATTGTGTTAATATGTTTCTCAATCACTGAATGCCACTTAAAGATGTTCTTAATTGTTTTAATTCTTTGCAACCTGAACTAAAATTATGATGTATTTTAAGACAACTAAATGCTAAAATCAGGTTATACTCAATTTCTGATCAAATGGACATAAAGGATAATTTTCTACATGTAATTACCAGATAGATTGATTTGCACCTTGATTTTATATAGTTGAAATTTACTTAACACTAGATAATGATGAATAACATGTAAGTAAAAAATACACTGGTTGGAATTGCCCTTTAACGTGGCTAAATCTATTTGTTAAGGCCAGCTCAATTTTTGTCAATGTTGTTGAGATGTAAATAAGGTTAGGGCACGTGATTGTTGGCGAGATTAGGGTAATCATTGGGGCTTGGTCCAGGGTTAGCGCTAGCCCTGTTTACATCTGACCTATGACGAAAAATTGAGCTGGCCTTATCATTTAGCACCAACCCTTTAACGTGGATATGTTAAATTGAAGACTAAGGGGAGATAAGCATGTACATGTAATAATATTAAAAACCTTTTATCATATTAAAATGTTATGTAGTTGAGGTATATTTTGGTTGTCAGATTTTATGTATAAAGTATGTTTTGTTGAAAATTAAAAATATATTTACATGTATTTAACTTGTATTTGTCTGTCCCCTGACCAACTGTTTATATAATACATCTTTCTTAAATCTTTGCTGGGGATTCACAGTGGCTGAGTGAGTAAAACGTTGACTCACTAACCTGGAGATCCGGTGTTCCATCCCTGCGTTGGCTGAGAAAGCTCATCAGGATTTTTTCCGCATGGTTTACCCTTGTTTGTGGTGCAGGACAGAGGTCCTGGCAAGGGACAATGTATATTCGTTTGGTTGGGACGGAAAACTGAGGTCCTGTGTACACATTGGCGTGCACATAAAAGATCCCTTGAAGTTGGAATTCAAAATAGAGTTAGTCTCTATCATCTGGATGCGTTGTCAACATTTGAGAAAATTAGGTCATTGGCTAGATTATCTGGTCTTTTACATTATCATGAACAAAGTCTAAGGGAGGTAACCGGGGAATCCAGAGAAAACCCATGAGGTTGAACAATCAACCCTACTCCTACTCGAAACCACGCCACTTGACTCAATGACAGACCTTATCATCCTACAAACATGCGTTAACCATTCGGCCACCCTAACCCCCTTAGCGTGTACAGGTGAAAAAACCCTTGGCAGTTGGAATTCAATTAAGAGTAGGCGGAAATGCCACTGTCTGGACACTGTGTATGCCCATCACCATCAGCCCAACCCCCTATGTAATAGAGAGAGAGAAATGGAGTTTAACATCCACTCGACACAAACTAGGTCATTTCGGGACTAACATTACATATGGTTCAATTTTATTTCAATACTTCGCTTGCACATGGGGGTCTTAAGCAGTGGGAGGAAACCAGAGGACCCGGAGAAAACCCACAAGGTTGGACAGACGACCCTACTCCTTGTCACGAACACAGAGAGAGAAATGGGGTTTAACGTCCACTCGACACAAAGTCATTTCGGGACTAACATATGGTTTAATTTTTTTATTTCACTAATTCGCTTGCGTAGGGGTCTTTAGCAGTGGGAGGAAACTGGAGGACCCGGAGAAAACCCACAAGGTTGGACAGGCTTGTCACGTACAACCAGGGAATCAAAACCACACCAGTTGACTCAATGACAGACCTTATGACGCACACACACTCTAACCATTGGCCATCTACCCCTCTCCTATGTAATGATCTAAAGCACTTGGGCATCACGGTGGCTAAGTGAGTAAGATGCTGCCTCGCTAGTCTTCAGGTCGGGTGTTCGTTCCTGCATTGGCCGAGAAAGTTCATCTAGATTTTACGGTGTGGTTCCCCCTTGTCAATGATGCATAAGACAAAATACTGAGATCCCGTGTACACACTGGCGTGCACGTAAAAGATCCCTCTACAGTTGGAATTCGATATAAGAGTAGGCTGTAGTGCCGCTGTCAGGACAAAATTTCCCTCATAGCAGACTGTATGGCGTATGACCGTCTTCATTAGCCCAGTTCAAAGCAGAACAGTAGGACCTTAAACTCATATCTAATTCCAACTGTCAAGGGATCTTTTACGTAGAAGCCAATGTGTACACGGGACCTTGGTTTTTCGTCCCATCCGAACAACTAGACAGCTGTACTTGTCAGGCCCTCCGGCCTGCATCACTAACAAGGGAGAACCACGCCGGAAAATCTGAATGAACTTTTTGGCCAATGCAGAGATCGAACACCCGACCTCCAGGCTAGCAAGCCAGCGTCTTACCCACTTAGCCACCATGATCCCCTCTTAAAGACTGGAAGGCAGCAGGGGTACTGAGTAGTATGTATGATGATGACAATACATATATAAAAAAAGAACTAAAACCTCAGAAGGAGAATATTGTTAGCATTTTTAAACAATATAAAAATACAAATTGTTATTATTTTGTATTGTAATATCACAAAGAAAGACAAGGAAACATAAGGAGTAGTAGGCTATGTACAAAAATGTTTTATGCAAATCATATTTTTTTCTGAACTTTCATGAACATGTAGCTCCTCAATCAATTTATAACTTTAATAATTAAGAATGTGAATCATTTATTGTAAGAAATACTTTTTTATATTGTCATTGCTGTCACCTGTAACTGTTTATGTATAACAATCAATTTGTAACTTAAAAATTGAGTAACTACACAGCCCATGTAGTTTCTCTCGAAATGTCTGAAGACCTGAAAGTTAAAAGTTACTCAGATTGATTGAGTTTTGCTAAAGCACTGTGATGCTTCTTGGTTCCATATTTTTCTTAATTTCAAAGTATCGTAAAACTATTTTTGAAATTATTTAAAGATGTTTTACATACGAATTAGGTAAAGAGCCAGCCGTTCTAACTATGATCGTAAAAAAATAGATATATTAAAAATTGTATTTTACGATTTTAGGTACAATTTTATGGATACACTGTTACTGAATTTATATCTATGCAACACTTTGACGATGTTACTTAATACTGCTCTCGTCTTTGTCAAGCAAATGTATATTTTAAGGCCACTCATTTGAGTAAGAACTAAAACTGGACGAGGACAATTTAATCTCTCTCCTCCCCCCCCCCCCCCAAGTACATGTACCATACATGTAGGTACAACGTTTATGTAGATTAGTTTCACTGCCACTCGGTTACGACTCAGATCGACACACGAATGCAACGGGAACCCTGGCCCTGGGTTCTACAGTCACAGTCAACTGAACAGCTTCTGTCAGCTAACGAAATCTTTAACAACTGTGTTTTCTTGAATTAAAATAATGTTTTGCACAAATTAACAAAAGTCAAGAGTAAGCTTAAATTAATTAAAAGAAGAATCAGGAGAAACTTCTTCAACTGTGTTTAACGAAAGTCTTTTCTTTACACTCTTTAAAACCACACCAAATTTGTTCTTTTCGCTTGAAGTTGGGTGATCTTGTTCTGGACTTGTATTTTCCTTGTCTGATTCAGGTGTATGAATCTGACAAGATATTCTTCTTTTCAAAGATTTTGCTATCATCGCATGGAGATCATTTTCTGAGTTTGCCGGTGGTTCGCGAATGGGAGTGCCACCTGGCGATCTTTTCACTGAGCGTAATTTAATGTTACCCATATCTTTTAATATTTCCGTCATGTCAAAGGGTTTGTTGGATTTATTTGCATTGTTGCCATTCTTATCACAAGCAGTTGGTTCAGATAATCCATTTATCCCTTGTTTCAACATGTCACCCAGGCTCTTACCACCAGTAGCCATGTTTTTACCAAATTTCAATGGCTGCTGCGGAAGTCTGATTGCTGGAGGAGGAGGGGGAGGAGGTGCAGGTGGTGCTGCAGTCGATGTTACAGTTGTGGGTGGTACACGACATACTGGAGAAGATGTTGACATTTTGGTAGCTGCTGCACCCTGTTGTTGAGCAACCATTAAAAGATTTATCTGCTTACGAAGATTGGCCAACTCGTCCCTCATCTCCAGCATAATACTTGTTTCCGTAGTCGATGATTCTACAGAAGGCAGGATAAAATCTCTCTGACTCTGGTATCCATCACCTATAAAAGGAGTGGGTGTTGAAGTAGCGATGCGTGACGATATGGAAAAATCAATGTCATCTCCAGTTGTTCGCATCACTGAATCTTTTCCAATTATGTCTTTTCGGCGACACACTTGAATAACATTATCACAAACTGATTCTTCTAACCAAATAATTTCATTGTCAGTAGTTGACGCAAAAGAATCACCTTCAGTTTCAGAAAGAAAACTATCATCAAATCTATAAGTGTCATTATTGCCTACCATATGGCATTTTAGCCTAATACGCATGGCCGGTTGTAAGGGCAATATCGTCCCCAAACAACGAACTAAATTTCGTTTATGGATTGTTGTCAATTGGGTTGATGAAAAAACATTTTCTAAAATTCGAGTGACATCAAATCCAAAACGCTGGCACACTAAGAATAATAGGTTGGAAACATCTTCAACTATATCCATTTTTTCTTTAGGTGGTCTTTAAAAACGTTATGCCATTTTCAGATTTCTGGAATATTTTAGTAAACTATAATTAGTTAATTCAATAACAACATGCTGATCGTTTGACTTCCCGCTTGTGGAATTGAATATTTGACTTTATCTTCCGCGGCCCAAAAAAGAGTACAAGAAGGGAGATAACTCTCGTGAATCGTCAGACCGCTATTATTATTTTTTTACTTAGATTAATTTCACAATCCCAATTCAGAACAATATTTTATTCTCTGAATAGAAAGCACTTCTTTTTATCAAAACTAAATTCTAACATTATGTCCTTTCTACTCCTTGGAAAATCATAGCAGAATAATTATTTTGTATAAGGTTATTGTATAGCATCCATGGTCTTTGCCCCTCTTCATTCTTGACAATACTGGTCTAACCTTTTCATTTGAAAACCTATTCGACCCACCGAGTATTATAGCCACAAGTGTCGCAGCCTTTGTCTACTTCTCTTTTCTTAGGAGAGACATCTGTTAAATATGCATGATATTTTATTTTCTTTTATGTGCGCACGCTTTGTTTTGTATTTTGATATATTATGTACCCTGTATGTGGGTCTTATACTGTCGAGTTATGTGATTTAATACTTTGTACATTTTGTTCCATATGCAGGTTTCATACTGTTTATTTATGAGTGCTCTAAATTTATGTCCGTCCATATTTTTGTATCCGTCCATTTTTTTGCACCTGTATATTTTGTATATTGTATGTTGTCCTCAAGGGAGGTTCCGATGCAATATTGTGTGTCTTGTGTAATAATTGTCATATCGTTATAATTTTTATGTACACGTTTATATTGTATGCTGTCCTAAATGGATGTTTCGATGCAATAAAATCTTATCTTATCTTATCTTATCTTAGCCCCGTCGGTGCATAGAATCACGGATCAAGAAAACAAGATTCTGCAGAGTTTTTTCCCAAAGGAGAAAGAATTAGATTTGAAGTTGAAGTAAGTAAAAAAGGAAGACAGTTGACAAGGGTTAAACCTAAATTCTAAACAGTATATGTCCTTTCTACAACAGAGCAGACGAATTATTCTTGTACCGCAGTTTCAAAGACGCGCCCTTTGTATTCAAAATAGTCGTCTGTCAATTGATTTATTATTATGATTAGATGATTTATCCACCGGATATTTCCTGGTACTTTATATAACTTTGCTACCAATCAGAATCCTGGATTTGTTCCAGGGTTATCCGATCTTTGACCTTGTGTTCCAACATCTGACCAATCAGATACCGATCGGAAAAGATACCAAATGCTTCAACTGCATTCGAACCATTTTAGTGACATTTGTATCGTCGAATGGTAGACTCAGGCAGTAACTAGGGGAGAGCGGGGGGGGGGGTGTAAAAAGTTTCGCCCCCCCCCCCCCTTTGAAAAAATTGTCAACCATAGATATACTTGGTCCGTCAAATTTATCGCACTCATGAGAACACTTTAAACTATCGCTGAGTTATTGTCTTTCAACATAAAGGGACAATAACACTCTTGCTGGCTTGACAGCTCCAGAAAATAAAAAATAGCCTTATTCTAAGTACTAGATGTGTTAGTGTCTTACCTGTTGTGTAAATTATCCATTAAATCCTATTTTACTTGTCCAGAGGGCTCAAAAATATTTTTGAATCCAAGTCACATTTGAAACACTTTACGTCAGGCTTTTCAAATCATTTAGTTGAATTTTTCCATTTTTTTGAATTAGGTGTGTTAAGATGAAATTTGTATCATCAATTAATTGGAATATTGTAAAATAGTACAATTTGTTGACCAGAATAAAGACTGGGACATATTATTCAGTTACAACAAGAGTGGTATTGAGCCTTTAAAGGAAGGTCATCTTCAGAAGTTAGATGTAATCAAATAAAGTGTTCAAAAATAAATCAAATAAATTAAATAAATAACTAAATGTTTTCTTTGTGCCCTAGTACGGGCAGACCTGAAATGCACAAAAAAATCTCGTTTACCGACAGCCGTGCCGCTCATCATGGGTGATCACCGAAGGCGCGGAATTTGCAGCGTATATAGGGTTCAACCCAAGATTTTTTTTTAAAATTGAACGGCCGTAAATGCGTTAATGCCCGAAAAATGTCGCACAGATATAGGCGCGGAATTTGCAGCGTATATAGGGTTCAACCCAAGATTTTTTTTTAAAATTGAACGGCCGTAAATGCGTTAATGCCCGAAAAATGTCGCACAGATATAGACTGTCCGACATTTCATTTGTTTTAAAATGAAATGAAATGAGATGAAATGAAATGGAGTTTAACGTCCTACTGTTCTTCTCCGACTGGGCTAATGAAAACGGGCATTCTCCATACAGTGTGCTTCGCGGGACATTTTTACCGATCAGCGGCACTATGGCCTACTCTTATATCGAATTGCAACTGCCAGGGGATCTTTTACGTGCATGCCAATGTATACATGGGATCTCGGTTTCTCGTCCCATCCGAATGACTAGACAGCTGTCCTTGTCAGGTCCTCCGTCCTGCACCACTGACAAGGGGAAACCACGTCGGAAAATTGCAATGAACTTTCTCGGCCAGTGCAGGGATCGAATTTATTTATCATTATTTTTTAAATTCACGTGCATTCAAGACGATGTCTGCAGCCCCCCCCCATCATTCAGCACCACCGCCTGTCTAGGAAAAAATAATTCATGTCTAATTCATAAATTCAAACGACATGAAATTATTATATCGATCCTTATTTGAAATTCATGCACAGTTGATTATTGGCTGCTTCTGTGAAACACTATATAATATAAACATTGCTAGTGAAGGGATTTTGATAAATTTTAAAATATAAATTTATTATCACTTGCCAATTATGAAAGGGGGAGGGTGGTCTACATGAAAAAAATACCGAATTTGTAAAACAACACTTTTTTATCAGAAAAGTGCTACAGTCGTGTGCTTTATCCTTTATTAGGCTGTTAGGTGGAAGGGTTTTGTGGGAAAAATTCCCGGAAAGATGATTTGTTGTTTTTCTGTTGGTCTGTAGTACTCCAGAAAAAAAGTCTCCGTGAATCGGCCTTGGGGGAAAAATCCGACCTCTCTGAAATTGCTAAATCGCTTTTATTTTGGACCTAGAAATTGACACAAATTGGTCGCAAAGCATAAAATAATGTAATAAATCAATTAAGTTCGGCGAAATACGCCAGAAGTCTCAATCGAATGGCAATCTCTAGCATTTGGTTATTCCAGTCTACACCGATAGTATTTTTTGCGCATGCTCTCCTGATAAGAATATGCTGTCATCGTTTCACATGGTGGAATATGTCTAGCCTCGTTCTTCGAGTTTCTTGTTGTTATCAGGGGCGTGCTGGCCCCTTCGGGGCCCGTGCGTCGCCGAAAGCGACCCGCGTGCCGAGTATCATATTTTCCAAATTTATGCTGCTATTTTGACTATAAGACATACTACTGTACTACACAAGACACTCATGACAGGTCTGCTTAATATAATGCTATACAATGTATTTCTATCCAAATAATAAATTGCATCTTATACATATCGAGGCATGAATACATGTATCAAAGACCATTTCACCTTAAGGTGACAGACATTTGCACGTCAGCATAATATATTTTACTAATCGTTGTGTATGTATGATTTTTCGCGTGCGCACTCTCAATTTTTTGAGGGGATTCTGCGTGAAAATTAGAGCTCTCAGGGGGGCCCGCTTATACGGGTGGACTTATTGTTTAATGGGGGCCTGGGAGGACACCGTCCTCCTAAACTCCCTGCAAGCACGCCCCTGGTTGTTATAAATGGTGCTGAGACGCATTATGGTACACGATTCGTAAACCAATGGTAAAATGTTTATTTTGTCTTAAATATTGGATATCAGACTCCCATCTTTTCCCGGTAAGATCACCACATCAATGTTGATTTAATTTGATAAATAATACGTGTTTTCAATGTCGAAGACTTTGGATGATAATGAGTTAGAGACTTAGCTACTTTAATACCAGTGTATTATAAATATCCTGCTAAGAATCCACAGCATTGACGTATCAGATCAAACAAATGTTTCATATTTTGCCAGAGCGGCCGGGTTTGATGTTTTGCCAGAGCGGGTATACCGAAGATTGGATTTGATATTCGACCTAAAACTTTCACTTTCGTTGAAACCGAAAGTAATATGTTCTAGGAGCGGATTTTGAGGATAATGACATATATTTGAGGTGAAATGGAGGGAGGGGGTGGGGATATGAATGTGGATGAACAAGATCTGTGTGCATTGTGTAAAGAACGGTTGCTGGAAGGCGATGATGTATCTAAAGTGTACGAAAAGGGAGAGGGAGAAATGGGGTTTAACGTCCACTCGACACAAACTAGGTCATTTCGGGATTAACAAAAAGGGATTCAAAAAGCTAACAGAATGTAGTAAACTGAGAAAGGATGACACGGTGAGTTTTTGTGTAGAAAACCCTGTTCAAATGCGTGTTCACAGTGTTTGTAGGAAAGATTATGCGAACCCCAGTGCTATTAAAAGGGTCAAGATTGAGGATGATTTAGCATCTGTCGCCGTAGAGCAGAGCCCCAACAAATACCGATAGATCATGGAATGAATAGGTTCTTATCTTTATGTTTCTGGCTAGAAGATGATAGCAAGCCAGAGCTTTTCACAGTTGGGAATTTTTATAACAAGATGGTTTTGCTTGCCGGCGACCAAAATGTGTATACAAAAAAGAGATTTCGTGGAAAACTCCAGGAACATTACGGTGGCCATGTGTTTTTTGCACAAATCGGTAGCCAGTCCCAAGATGTGTTATGTTTCGCGATATGGCGAGTTACATTTTGCACTATCTATCCGTCTTCCAGCCGCTAGGTCTGTGGTGTCAGTTTTAACATAATTTTCCAAAGACTTTTGAACATCGCGAATGGTATCTTGCTTCATTTGCTGCTAAAGATAGGCACCCTTCTACTCGCCATTTCACGTCTTTGCACCAAGCGTCGTGCCGTTGATTATAACACTGGTTCAGAATAGATATTTAGAACAATACGGTATTAAGGCATTTTCGGATACCAAAACTAAAAAGTCCTGTAAATAAATTTTCCCCAGGGCCAATTCATGGGGACTTTTTTTCTGGAGTAATGTTCGTGTTTACTCTCTTTAAGGCCTTGT